TTAGGCCATCTTTGAGGTCTGTTTCAATTCCTAGGTTTTTGGATTCCTCTCACTCTGAGGATGACTTCCCCAGGCACCTGCACAGATTTCTGACACAGTCTTGCTTTCAGGCCACATAAGGTTACTCTGTGAAGGCACATCCCCTGTGAGGCATGTCTGCCTGCTTAGAAGGAAACAGGAAAGTTTCCTTTCATTTGTACTATTTCTGATGCACACACAACTTTTAGAAAAATCCTGGCAGGCACACCTCTGTGTTTAAATGATGATGTAACTTCTCTGGGCCTCAGCAAACCACAGGCTCTGTCAGGTCATTGAGCGCCTGGCAGGACCTCTCAGCATTTAGTCTAAAGAAAGAGTGATGCCGAAAACTACGTCTTAGGCAAAACTCACTAGAAACACACAACCCCAAAGCTATGCAGATGCTCTGTGCCCCACACTTGCAGACACTGGCCCACCTGCGGATCCAGCAGGGGACCTGAAGGTCCTGACAGGGGCCTCTGTCAACTCTTTATGCTCCTTTGTGCACATCGTAACAAGTTTGTTATTGTGTTTCCAAGTCTAGTGCAAATCAGAAGCAGTAAATGACCAGGTGAGCAGCCACCGGCTGTGGGCAGGAGTCAAGGCCACTGGCAGTCATGAAGGCAGAGGGGCTCTAGCTCTTAAAGGCCTTGGGGGTTCCTAGTGCTCTTCTCCCTGGGGTGACAGAGAGGAGAGTAAGAACAGCTCGCTGTTCACAGGCACTGTGGCAGCCGGCTCCCTGAGTGCCACAGCTGGGACGCTGGCGCTTTTGCTTTGTTGTTTTAAATCTGTGCTGCTCCATGTTTGGGATGTCACCAGGCAGAGCTCAGAGTGTGGAGGTGTCTAGTGAGGCCAGGACGTGCGTCTCCCCAGCCTCCTTCCCCTCCATATTTGGACACTGCCGTCACATTTTCCTCAGTTACCCAGCTGTTGCCATGGAGAGCACGGTGTTTGTTTAGCAGGACAAACATTTTCTTCAGATTACAGCAGGCTGGCCTTGGGGACTTGGCTCCTACCAGGAAGACACAAACGTATTATAAATCTTGGGTTGTAACATACCGCCAGCTTGTGGACACGGAACACAGGCTGTGAGATCCTGTTATATAAAGTGCAAAGGCAGGCAGGATTAATCAGGCTGTGAGAAGTCAGACTGGTGGTGTGTGACCAGGGTTGAGTGGTGGCTCAAGGACCACCAGGGGTATCTGGGGGGCTGGGGACACGGGTGCTCAGTTTGTGGACATATATCAAGCTGTGACCTTATGATTTGGGACTTTTCTGTGTGTATTTATACTTTCATTTCAAAAAGCCAATTGCCTTAAGTGATTGAGCCTATTTCAGATTTTCACAAGGAAATGAACTTCCCCTTAAGCTCAAGGCTATTGAATGAGAGCAGCCTTACCTATCCTGGGGTGGCCATGGTAAGTGGAACTGGGACCCAGGCTATGCTTTTGTTCCCTTTTTTATTTTTATTTTTTTTTTTACTATTTCTTATGGAACCTCTTAAAATATGACAGTAGAGAGGATAGTGTAATGAATCCCCATGAACCCATCGGTCAGCTTCAAAGAGTTTTAGCTCTGGCCCCCTCCTTCCATCCCCACCTTTTCCCCCTCCTGTATTATTGTGAAACCCATCTCAGACTATGACCTCATTGCAGACTGCACTTTCTAACGGCCCTCTGTGCGGCAGAGGCAGTGCTTGCCACCGGAGGTATGATCAATGACCCGAGTCAAGGCCTGAGCTTAGCCCCTTCCTTGGGTCTGACTGTTCTCCAGGGACAGAGCCAGCGTGTAGACATCTGTGAAGGAGGCAGCAAAGGAACCTCGAGGGGCAGGTGTGCAGGCCCCAGCTTCTCTGGCAGCCCCTTTCCTTCCTGGGCCCCTGGCACCCTGGACCATGAGCACCACCCCCAGAACTGGAAACCCAGCTTTCCCGGGGCTCCCCAGGGCTTGGGCAGTGCTGGCATGAGCAGGTGCTCCATAAATGTTTGTGGAAGGCAGGAGGCAAAGTCTGATTTGATGGGCACATTGGTTTTGCCAACTTGGCAATTTGAGGTCGGTCCATTAGAGCTGTCGGTGCTGAGTGATGCATTTTCTGGAAAGATGAAGTTTGGGATGATTTGGTTTGGTTTGTTGTTTCACATTTCTGCATGCTCACTTGACTCTCTTTGCAAAAAAAGATTGTCTTCCACCTAAGGTAATCATGTGACTCCTACTCAGTGAGCCCTACTCAGTGTCCCCGGTGGTGGGCCATGAAAGCCAGGAGCTCCTGCAAGGAGCTAAGCGAAGCCCTCAGGGCGTGATGGAAGCGAAGTGTGTGGTGCTCTTTCCTGAGGATGTCTGTACGCCTGGGGTGGGGCCAGCTGAGCGCTTAGTCCTTTACATACAGCCAGAGATAGCTCTCCTGGCAATGAAATATCTCCTTTTAAACAAATTACTTCTGTTACAGTGTCTGTGTTCCCATTGTAACGGACAGTGATGATGAAAGCTAGCCTCTGTTGGACACTGACTGCATCCCAGACACCTTGCATGGGCTGCATCCTTTCACCCTCCCAGCAGCCAGTAGGAGGCAGGTGCTGCTGTGGCCCCATCTGACAGATGAGGAAACAGGGACAGGGAAGGAAACTTGCTCAAGACCACACGGTCAGAAAGTGGGGGACCCACGGAAGCCCCACCACCCAGGAGCTACTCATGTAACCACTCAGCCTTCATAATTCACTCAGCAAAAAAGGACTGGCTGCTTGTCTGAGGAGGACTGCCGGATGACATAGGAGGTGTCCAGGAAGTTGGGTGGGCAGCCCCTTGGCAACTCCACTGAAGCCCTCTGAGAGATCTTGCTTCCACCTTGCCCATGCCCTGCAATCCTGTTAAAGTATGAGTCACGTCTTACATAGAACTCTCCAGCAGTTCCCCATCTCAGAATAAAGCCAGAGTCCAGGTTCTGCCACTTTGATGTGCAGATCTGGCTCTGATCTAATATCACTCTCCTCTTGCCTTGCCCTCTGCTCCAGACTCAGCCATCTTCTTCAAACTCCCTGCCTCAGGACCTTTGCACTTGCTGTCCCTACCTAAAATATTCTTCCTCTGCATCCAGCTAGCCTGCTCTGTCACTCTGTTCAGTTTGTCTTCATTCAGGTTCTTTTAAAAACAAAGTCTGGGTAGAGGGTTACACTTTACTGAGAGATGCAATCCCAGGGCAGCCATGGTGAGGGAAAGGGAAATGAAGAGGAAAAGGCAGGACACACACATGTGATGACGTCCTAATGATGAGGCCCTGCTTCACGGACACCCAGCATATCACTCAGCCCCTGGAGATCTCATCAGCAAGACTCCCCCCCCCCCCCCCGAAAAAAAAAGAAAGAAAGGAAAAGAGAGGAAAGGAAAGGACAGACAGAAAGCTTCAGAACGCTCCAATCAATGGAGGGATGGAGAGAGGACTTAGCCACTGACCACTTCCGCTGACCTGTCCCCTGTGGCCAAAGTTCACCCCAGGGAGTGTGATTGCTCTTGGGTCCAAATGCAAATTAAGGCACATCAGTCTGTACTTACAGTGCAGTGCTTCAATGGTTCCTAGTCGTTTCCCAGATAACTTATGTGTAATTTATGTGTAAACTCCTCACTGGCCTTTCTCCCTTCTGCACTCTGCCTACTTCTGCACTCCACTTGGATCCCCTTAGTCAAACACTGGAAATGCCTGCAGGGCCTGGAACTCATGTGCTCCCACCTGCTCTGCCCTCCTCACAGGGTAACACCCGCTCCTCACAGCCTCACCTCTCCCCCTGCCTGCAGCCTGGTTTCAGGGTCTCCTGTAACTTGTGATGCTCAAGATTTCTGAGATCCCAGACAACCTGTAGGGTCCCAGGCCCTGCCAGCCACTCAGTGGGAACCGGTGTACAGTGCGGCCTTGACTTACGAGTTTAATTTGTTAAGGAGCTTGTTAACTCAAATTACTCTGTCAACTCAAAGCAAAAAATCGGCTGAGAGACAGCTCGTATCTCAAAAAACTTGTTAGTCGGGACACTCGTAAGTCAAGGCCCCACTGTATTTCCCAAAGTTCCCACATGCTGGGCAGTGGTCATCAGTGCTCTTGTTGCCTTCTCATGAGGCCATCAGCAGCTTGCCATGTCAGGGCTGTGGCTGCCTAATTCAACTGCCTTCCGAATTCACGGCAGGTGGGCGCTCAGTGAATAAGAACAAAAATACCCATGAGATACCTGTGAATGACCCTGACTGCTACCCCCTCACTTGGCAAAGTATGAAGAAAGACCCTGATGGGACAGCCACGGAAAGGCTGCACGCTTTCTGGCTGACAACATTTCTCTCGTTTGCCAGCTTCCTTCAGGAGCCAACATGAATGAATTTGCTGGATTTGCCCCCAACCCCAGTAGCCCCACAAAGGAGCCCATGGATCCCACACCCAATGGGGTCTTGCTCCAGGAAGATGTCGACATGAGCAGTGGCTCAAGCGGAAATGAGACCAACGAGAACTGCTCCACAGGGCGGGACTCGCAGGGCAGTGACTGTGACGACAGTAGCAAGGAGCTGGGGATGCTGGTGGAGTCACCCGATTCTCAAGAGAGGTAGGGGCAGCCGGGGCCCGTGGAGGCAAGGCCCTTGTTTGTCTTTTCAGGGTCTCATTCTGTTGTAATTTGATTGCTTCACCATCTTTAAATCATGATGATCAACTTTTTCCAGATTTTTGAAAATCTTGTTAACTTAGAATAACTAAAATGTACTAGGGTTTGTCCTTCCTAATGATGCCACTTGGCCATTGAAGATCCGATTGCCAACAGATCGGTAGTGCATAATGAGATCTTAGGAGGCTGCGTGTCAGGTAACCTCGCCTGCAGCTGAGTGCTTTGTAGAACATGAACATGCTCCTTTAGCACTGGCTCTTCATCTCCCAATACCTACTTTTCCTGGTCTCTGAAGGCTTTGTTTCAGTTTTACCTTACCCTCGTGTTTCTCACTGTGGTGTGATCCAGCCTGTTATCGCTGATTAGATGGAGGAGCTGTGGGTGGAAGAGTCTCTGAGTTCTGTCTTTATTTCTTGTCCTTACAGTCCAGGTGCCTACAGCCTGATACTGGCGAAGTCTGAACACAACCCATCTACAAGCGGCTGCAGGTAAGGCCAGTTAGAACCTCCTTGACTTAGAATCTTAGGAGAAACCAAGAGATTTGTCCTTGGAGGTTAGGTTTGGGGGATATGTGACTTGTTTTAAGCTTCTTCTAGAACCTATTGGTCTGTGTTGTGAACCCAGCTGTGCCCTTCCAGTCACGACTGTCCCTGCAGGCTGCCCTGAGCCCCCCATGTTGCTCTGGGTCTATTGCTCCTCCAGCTCTATCCAAGCAGACCTTGTCTGCGTCTGAGACCTGTTCATCTGGAACTTCCTCACCCTGTTTAGGTATTTGTAACAAGTGTATCCTTAGTTTCCTATCCACAGACACTTTCATATCTCACTGGAGCCACAGCCAGCTCTTAGTCCTGGGCATGAGGGCTCTTTGCCATCGTAGACACCTGATGTCCACCATTCTCTCCGCACCTTCTGCTCTACACACGTCCATCTCCTTCAGCAGGTGCCCACCTGCCCTGCCTTCCCCGTCTCTGCTCCTTAAGTTTGAAGATCCTTCTATAAATCTCCTCTCCTCTTGGGGGTCTTCCTAAACTCATTATTCACGTTTATGCCCCAGGAAGCCACTGCTGTCCTCTGTATTCTCCATCACTTAATCATCTTCTAGCTGAGGCAGACAGGAAGGCCCAGCTCAACCATCAGTCTGCTCAGCCAGATTCTGAGGGTCGATCAGCAGGCCTTGCTGGGCACAGCCTGGCTCTCACTCGTGGGGAAAAGAGCCAGCTGGAGGGATGTCTGACCCATTCACTTGTGTTAAAGCAGTGGTTCTCAACCATGGGTGAGTCGTCTGCCCCAAGAGATATGGCAATGTCTAGAGACATTTTGGTTGTCACAGCTGGTGAGGGTACTGCTGGTCTCCAGTAGTTGTTAACCTAAAAATAAAAGGCCAAAGTGAGAGGCAACAAGCATTTATTGTAGGTAAAAAAGAACAGCTATTTAGGACGCACTGATTCAGGCAGAAACCCAAATAGTGTTCCAATTAGGAGGCAAAGGCAAGGGGTGTTTATGAGAAAGGGAAGGGGAGCAATTATATCCATAGAAGGAAGGCATTCTGTAGTGCAAATAAGGTAACATAGTGACACTAGTTCTAAACACTGTTTTTAATTTTCAGTCTGGTGGCTAAATATCTGCTTTCCTGTTACCTTTGTAAACAGTTCTTTGGGACACAATGTTGCCCTGTTTTAACACTCCAAAGTTTTGAGGAGCAAGACTACAAGGCAGCTTGCTTGGGGATGGCAGCTCCAACTCCATTTTAAAGTGCCTCCATTTATGTTATTTTTCACATGGGTGAGGCCAGGGATGCTGCTCACCATCCTGCAGGCACCACAGAGAACTGTATGGACCAAGATGTCCTAGTGCCAGGTTAAGAAACTGGACCAGACGGACATCTCTTCAGAAAAGGGACCCAGAAAGCTAACGTCTGATCTTTTTCACTCTAGTAGTGAGCAGTCTGCCAAAGCCAACACGCACAAGGAACTGATCAGAACGCTCAAGGAGCTGAAGGTCCACCTCCCCACAGACAAGAAGGCCAAGGGGAAAGCCAGCACGTTGGCGACCTTGAGGTACGCCCTGAGGAGCGTGAAGCAGGTGAAAGGTATGCCTACCTCATGTGTTTGTTCCAGCCTGTAGAAGTGAGTGTCAGATCCCCCCACATTACCGCTTGGACTGTGTTGGCTTTCAAGACTCAATCCTGACACTGAAGAAAGAAACTTCGGGGTCTCGTGGAGCTGTCACAATTGAAAATCTCAGTTCACTGGGAGCTGTCTATTGCACTCGACTTTTAGAGGAAGAAATAAAGCGGATAGAAAGCCAGCTGATAGCAGAAACCTATGTACAACATAAAGCTTCTGTGCTGTGGGCTAGGTCAGGTCATGGTGAGGAGGGTACAGCATCTTCCAAGCTCTGGCTGGAGCGGGTGACCACCGACGGCCCGGTGATGTGGGCAGCTCAGAGTGGAATTGAAGCGAAACATCCCATAGTGTTTAGCTGAGGACTTGCCCCTCCTTTAAAAGAAAACATGAAGGGACCCCAGGGGTGGGTGGGTTTAACAGAGCTCATCCTTGAAAGGCAATATCTTAGAGCTTCTTCATTCAAGACCCCGGGCTCTTTATTTCTTTTTGTTTTAAATATGTTTTTGTTTATTTTTAGAGAGAGGTAGGGAGAGGGATAGAGATATAGAAACATTGATGAGGGAGAAACATCATCAGTTGGCTGCCTTCTGCACGCCCTCTACTGGGAATTGAGCCCACAACCCAGGCATGTGCCCTGACCGGGAATCGAACCGCCTCTTGGTTCGTGGGTTGAAACTCAACCACTAAGCCACACCTTTATTTCTTGTTTATCTAAAAATGTGTGAGTTTCAATGGTGGTGGGCTTTGGATCAGGAAGGCAGGCAGGGCAGAGTGCCTCCTTCCATCACAGGTGCATGGTAACAGGACCTCCGAAATCCAGCCTCCATCCACCTGTGGGCATGTTTGGATTTTATCATTCGATGGCAGCATGTGACAGCTTTTGGCGGTAGTTGGTGGATTAGAGAAAGGCTTTTGTCTAAGGACACATTGCAGGAACCTTCACAGATGCAGGAACCTATGAGCAAACACTGCAAACCCAACATGTTAGCTCATTGGGCTCAGACACTTTCCATTTCAATCAACTCCAAGCCCATAAGTATCTGCCTTCACTTGCTCCTGCCACCAGACCTTCCACTGGGCAGACACCCCATGTCCTGGGTCTCTGGTCACCTCGGTGCCTCTGCCTCCAGGCCAGGACCCTGTGCTCAGGGTCACCTCAGGATGGTTTAGCTATAAAGTTGGTCAAGAGGTCCTCGCAGCCTGGCCTCTCAGTCTGCTGCTGGGAAACGGGATGAGAACTTTGAGAATTCTTAAATGTCTTCAGTGCCTCAGAGAAACAGTAGAAGTCTTGGGGCAGGTATGCATGTGTGCAGTCCTAGTCTTGCAACAGGGGACACTCCATGGACCCTTGTCATTACAGTGAAACCCCCAGCCCCTGCACGTGGAGGGATTTCTTAGCTGTTTGGTCCACTGACGAGAAGCTGAGTCAGAGGGAAAGTCAGTACAGTGGGACCTTGACTTACTAGTTTAATTCATTCTGTGACAGCTCGTAACTCAAATTACTCGTATGTCAAATCAATTGTGAACGAGTGAGACACGTGATGCTGGGCTGATGTTGTGGCGTTCACTGTGACGTTCGCTGCGCCAACTAGCGGTGGGGTATCTGAAGCTGGCTCGTAACCCGAATTTTAACTCGCAACTCAAAGCAAAAAATCGGCCGAGAGACAGCTCGTATCTCGAAAAACTCGTTAGTCGGGACACTCGTAAGTCAAGGCCCCACTGTATCTCCTTGGGGTAGATGTGTGAACCCTCCCACCACTTGACCTTCACTTACGTATTTCACACATGCACTGAGTCCCAGTGGACACCACACATCAGAAACGTGCTTAAGAGTAGAAAAAAACTCCAAGGCTGATAGAAAGGTGAAACAGTGCTTTATTCTGTTACCATCAGCTACTATCTCAAGGTACAGCCTGCAGTCAAAGCAAAGCCTGTCACCAATGAGGATACCAAGCCACGTTTCAAATAGTGTTCACATTTCTAATGTTTGGATGAATTCCATGGGAAGGGCTTGTTTCATGTAGTCTGGCTGGGAGAGTTTGTGCCAGACATGGAAAGTGGCTATGTGCTGGTTTGTGTGGCCTTTTAAGGGGTCCTCTTCAGCCTCTTGGCCATGGCTGGGTCACCCCAAAGCCATGCCAGATGTTCCAGGATGAGTGGCCCTTGTCTTCAGGGTCTGTTCTGAGCAGTTTGTTCCACATGTTGTTTCTTGTGCCCAGTGACCTTAGCAGTCGATTCTGTTTGGATGGGATGTCAGTTGAGACCACCACGGGAGGCAGAGCAGGGGTACCACAGCCATCCTGCATGGACATGATGACATTGCATCATGATTGACCACCTCGTGGGGAAAGTGAGCATTAGGTGGAACTCTGTGGCCTTGTCATTTAAGATAATGTGTATTTATTGTTTACAAAGTTCTGTAACCATCGGCCTTCTGATTTTCAGGGGAAACCCCCAAATTTCTGTTTTGCCTTTGTCTTTCTGTGATCCGTTCTCTCAGTGTCCAGGAGATGGTCTCCTGGCCCACTTTTCATGAGAAAAGTGAGTTAGGAGCTGCCTCTTGGTCTCTCCTGCAGCCAACGAGGAGTATTACCAGCTGCTCATGTCCAGCGAGAAGCACAGCTGCGGCCCGGACGTGCCCTCCTACACCATAGAGGAGATCCGGAGCGCCACCTCCGAGGCCATTATGAAGAGCACGGTGAGTGTCTCCTGCGGGGAGTCCTCCTTCGGTGAGCTGGTGACCGCCTGGCCGGTGGCTTGATGGCAGCAGAGTTTGGAGTTGCAGGAAGTGAGTTCAGACCTTAGAAAAAGAATGTAGAGTCAGTGGTTCAGAAGTCCTGCTCCAGATGTCTCCCAGACCCTGTGCTCTCCTGGCCGCTCCACCCGGCACCTCACACACCGTGACCAAGCACAGTGCACTTCAGGGTGAGGACACGCCAGGGGCAATTGGTTCACTGTTCAGGGCTTCATCGGGGGGTGCCCTGGGATTAAACTCAGCTTCATAAGACTCCAAACCTCATGCATTTTATTTTATTATTATTTTTTTAAATCTTCACTTGAGGATATTTTTCCATTGATATTTTAGAGAGAGTGGAAGGGAGGGGAAGAGACAGAAAAGTCGATGTGAGAGAGACACATCAATTGGTCGCCTCCTGCACCAGGGCCAGGAAACACGCCTGCACTGAGGTACATGTCCTTGACCGGGATCGAACCTGGGACCCTTCAGTCCACAGGCTGGCACTCTACCCACTGAGCAAAACCAGCTAGGGCCAAACCTGATGCATTTTAAAGTGGCTGATAAAGGTGGGGCCCTTGGAGGTCGGGACGAGGAACAGGTTGGCCGTGCCCTGAGCCCCCATTTCTCAGAGAGCAGCATTTCTCAAAGCTGTCTGGAAAACTGGGCTCCCCCACTCCTTCTCACCTTCCTCCAGTACTCCCCACCCCCCCAACCAGTCCTTAGCTCAAGAGGTCCAGAGCCCTGCAGCCCCCAGACAGTCCCCGGCACCCCAGGAGAGGGACACCCCAGCCCTGGTGACAAAGGGGGAGGTGTGCAGGGCCCTTCTACCTCTCAATTCAGACGCCAGGGGCTCTGTACCCAAGAATACTGAATGGATGACACCTGTGGGAATCCGCACCCCTGGGTTCCTTTTGGAATGGAGCCCCAATGTGATTCTTCAAGTAATATCCTGTTTGGTTGCCAGTATATATGAGGGGAAATAGAGTTATTCTGGTCGGGACTGAAGGTCCCAGAGGCCTTCCCTGACCCTCCGTGCCCCTTTCCTGTCACCTGTCCCACCCGTGTGCCCGTCCTGTTCCGGCCCCTCTGCCCATTCTGACCCGAAGATGTTCTTCCTTTCCAGGACATGTTTGCTGCGGCTGTGTCCCTGGTCACCGGGAAAACCCTGTACATCTCCAACCAGGTGGCCTCCATCTTCCACTGTAAGAGAGACACCTTTCACGATGCCAAGTTCGTGGAGTTCTTGGCGCCCCATGACGTTAGCGTGTTCCACAGCTCCACCACGCCTTACAAGCTTCCTCCGTGGAGTGTCTGCAGTGGGACAGGTGAGGGGAAGGGAGTGCTGCCCATGTCACCTCTGCTGGAGACCAGCACAGCCGTGGCGGCCTCTGTCCCAGGGGAGAGATCAGAAGTTGTTCAGAATAAATTTAGAGAGAAAACTAGTCTTTTCATGAATTTCAGAGAGGGAGCAAACATCTCAGAGGCTTTTAGGACATGTTAGGCATTTTAGAAATGAAGTTCTGAGAAGCTGGAGTCTGAGGTGAGTCTGCGGAGGGGGGAGAGCCCAGGCGCATCTGGGGGCATTAGACCCCTGGCTGTAAACTCTGGAATGTGCCGCGCTCATGAATAGATTTCATTTTAGCCAGAACTGGGATAAAAGCTCTCTGAGGCTTCGCTTTGAGCTCTGGCAGGTTTGTGCCACACCTTGGCTCTGATTCTGGTACTGTCTTTAGGAGCACCCAGCGCTCTCCATACGTCGTCGTGTCATTGGGTGGGTGACTGTAGGCTTTTTCTTTCAGATTCTTCCACTCAAGAATGCATGGAGGAGAAGTCTTTCTTCTGCCGTGTCAGGTAAGCCCAGTGACAGGTCTTCCTAAACTTGAAATGGCCCAACCAGTTCATCCTGAGCACCTGGTGGGAGGTGCAGGAGGCCCAGACGTCTCCCTCCAGTCCGTGCTCCACTCCGGGCGGGAAGGCCACGAGCCTGGCTGTGCTCCCATCTTTGGAGCGAGGGGCCATGCAGCACTCATACTTCTAAAAAAGTGAGTGAAAAGAAAGCACGTGGCCAGAGCTGCATTTTAAATGTTCACAAGGGGTTAAGACAGCCTGGTCAACAGTGGGGTGATTTCAGCCAGTGCTCACTGAGGATGGCAGCCTGAGGAGCCGGGACTTGCTGTCCATCACCTGGAAACGGGCCAGGGGCCTTACCTGGGGAGGCGTGTATCCTGGGGTCCTTGGGGACCCCAAAAGTACATGCAGCCTTCGGTTTGAATGTATATTTTTTTAAGTGCATTTTCCTGGGGAGAGCTCCGTAGCTTTCCCAACGGGCTTTTAGCCTAAAACGGGGTGACCAGATAAGCCTCCAGCTGCAGTGTCAGGAGCGACCCCTGGCCAGACAGCGGTGCCCTCAGAAAGTGGAGCAGGACCCCACTGTTGGAGCAGCATCCCTTTCCCTAATTAAAACGCAAACTGTTCTAGAGACAGCTCAATAGATCTCTCAGGGCTGATGACTGTGACTTACCCTGTGACGTCATCGGAAATCTGAGGGGCTGGGTGGTGGGCCCAGCTTCTCAGGTGGAGATGAGGCCCAGACAGCATGCCAAGGGCTGCCCATCCATCTACCAGTATGCTGTGGTGGGATGGGAGGGCATCTTTACAACAAATGAAGGGATTGCTGAGATGACAGCCAGCTGTGGGGGAGGAACAGTTCCTTCTGTCATAACTCCACCCTCTAATGGCACCCTCCTCTTCAGCTTCGGGAAGAACCATGAAGACGAGATCCACTACCACCCGTTCCGTATGACGCCTTACCTGGTCAAGGTGCCGGAGCAGCAGGGTGCTGAGAGCCAGCTGTGCTGCGTGCTGCTGGCAGAGAGGGTGCACTCCGGCTACGAAGGTGACTGCCAGGCCCAGGCCAGCCAAGGGCTCCTCTGGTCCCTCAGTTACTCCCCTGGCTCAGATGTAATGTCTGTTCGGTGGACTCCAGCGCAGCCCTCCCCAGCCATGGACAGGGTCTCCATGTCCCTCGAGACTCAGCACACCCACCTTTGTCACCTGGCCCTCCTGGGACCCTGCCACACCACCTCCCCACGCATTTAAAGGGTCTGTGTGCCAACATCTCACCCATGTCCGGGCCATCACTGTGACCGTGGGTGCCCTTCCCCTTCCCCACCCACTGCCTTCCATCCATGCAGTGAGAACAGCCCTGACAGACTGGGCCCAAGTCCCTCCCATCCTTGTGTACACCCAGGCCTTGGCCCTGGTCCCTCTGAAGTGCAGGGACACCAGCTCTTCCTCAGAACCCCAAGCCATCCCCACTCTTACCTCCCACTGAGTCTGCCGTCCTCCTGACACCAGGTTCCTGCAGACAGTTGGCCCCCTAACTCCCTGTTTGCTCCTAGCGCCCCCTCCCCATCTCTGCCTATAGAAATCTAGTCTCTGCAGCAGGCTTATCTCGCCAGGTGTCCTTTCCTGGTCCTGCCAGCTCCTCAGGCCACCCCCCCCAAATTACCAAGTCTGGGTTCTTCAAGCATCCTGATCATGTCCTCCTAATGACCCCCCGTACCAAGCTGTGACATAGTCAGCAGGAGTTTCTGAGAAGCCTGTGTGTAGCGTGCGGTTTTGTAAATGGGAAGTCCTGGCTTCCCTGACTAGGTCTGGCCCACAGAGCCGAGGGACTGGCGAGGGCTCTCGGGCTGCCGTCAGAGCCTGTCACTGAACGAAGCATGTGGTTTTCTAGTCATTGTCATGTAACTACAAAATGTGTGCATTCCTCAGAATCAGACATCTGAGCAAAATTCTGTTCTTTCAGCCCCTAGAATTCCTCCAGAAAAGAGAATTTTTACGACCACACATACACCCAATTGTTTGTTCCAGGACGTAGACGAAAGGTAAGCCCCGTGTGCTGCCCCCGCTGCCCATGCACGCCTTGTGCTCACCCTTGTCTCAGAACCAGTACTGCATCCCCAGGCCCGCAGGTTCCCTCCCTAGACATTTAGCGTCTGTCGTTGTCTTGGTAATTACTTCATAACTAAGGAAAGCTCAATCAATGTTCATGGTTTTGACACTGAAGCTGTTAAGCTAAAGCTAAGCCTGCATGTTATGTGTGGTAATCAACAAAAGCATTTGAGGATGTTTAAGCAATGAGATAATTGTGGAATTACACTAAAAACCTCCTGACATAAAAAGACTGTAAATGGGGCTGTCAGGGGAGCTGGTAATTGTTCTAAGACTGTTTAAACTCGTTTCAAGGTTAGACACGGATAAGCACTGGTACAAGTGGGGATGGTGCGCCAGGGACAGGTGCACATCAGTGGGCAGGTTCCCAGCACAAGTGCACCTTCCAGCCTGCGTGTCACCTGCACCCTCTGTCCAGAGCCTCGTTGGGGTGTCCCAGCCAGGATGCTGCAACTGCTGGGAGCACTGACATCTGAGGGTTTGCCGGCATTGGGCCAGGGCCCTGGTGTGCCTTCCCCAGCTCCTTCTGCACAGAAAATGCTCCAGGCTGCTGGCAGTCGGGGAGGAGTTTGCTCAGAAGACCCACGGGAAGTAGACTGAGAAGAGCCAGCATGCTGCGCTTTCTGAAATGGGCCAGTGTCACCTCCACCGACACCGTCAAGAGTTAGGTCCTCTCCACTGCCCACCCCTGGGCACAGAGCTTGAGGTCTCCTGGGAAAGGTCTGCTCCCAGGTGGCCTGGGATCAGCGGCCTCCAGCTCCGGGCTGCTCAAGTGCATGCTGCCCACCACCTGTGTCAGAATGACTGAGAGGAGGCTTCAAGGCACAGGTTCCTGGGCCCCACCAGCCCTGCCCAACCAGGATCTCAGAGGGTGGGGCTGGGAGCTGCATTTGTGAGGCAACCCCAGCATAATTTTTATTCCTCCAAAAATCTAAGAACTTCTATCTGCAACCCACCCCAGGAATGTACTTAACTCACATGCAGAAGGATTGGCGAGCAGGCACACCTAGTCAGCACAGCCTTCCTCAGCAAAACCACCTCCTCCTCCTTCCCCTCATCTCCTCTCTTCCTCCTTCCTCTGTCTCCCGTTCCTTCTCCCCTTCTTCCTTCCTCTTCCACTTCCTGCCCCCTCTTCCTCCTGTTCCTCCTCTTCTTCTTCCCTCCTCTTCCCCTTCCTCCTCCTTCTCTTCCCCCTCCCTCCTGGCCAGGCCTGGAACTGGGAGGACGCCAAGAACATTCTGTACATCCGGCCAAAGGAAAACACAAGGCCCAAGAGAGTTCTCCCCCGCAGGGAACAGGGGGGCCTCTCTCAGACTCAAAGGAGACTGTCCTTCCACATGAGCAGAAGAGTTGGGAAAACATCTGTGTGGATGCAAGAACGCTGCCCGAGGAGAGGAAGGCTGGGGTGCAGCTCAGAAGAGGGGAGAGCGGCCAGGCTGCAGAGGGCACAGGGCAGCAGAGGGGACAGGACTCTGGGAAGAGGGACACTAACGATTTCTTGGAAAACAAACAGCTTTTACAAGAAGATCAGTGGGCACTGAGGGCAGGTCTCCAGGCAGTACTGGTGACCCCCCAGGGAAGCCACAGTAAATAAGAAGTAGATACAGTGGCCACAGTAACAGGAGCAGGAAAACCTCTTGGGCTGGAGAAGACATGCAGGCAGGGGTTCCAGGTGCAGGCTTGTTAAAAAGTTTTCAAAACTTGTTAAAAATATCCAGTCCAAAAAAATTGAACATAAATAATATCCATGCCAGACCATATCTGGCCAAACTTAGGAAGCACAAAAAAGAAAAATATCTTAACAGAAGAAGAAAAACATTTTCATGATTGATTCTTTCAGGAAATGGACACAAAGCTAAAACCACTCAGCTTATGACGGGTAGGACCTTGTAGGGTCTTGTTTTGTATTACAGACCCATGGGGATGCTGTAGTCTTTCACTAATTAATTGAAAGACTGCTTCTCTGTTAGCCTAATTCCTAAATTTTGATCCTGTAAATGGGGCTATCATGGGAGCTGGTAGTTGTTTTCTTTCCTTGTGAATGGTTGTAGAGATGGTCTGCTCCCCTGTTTGGAGGCTGCATTATGGAATGTGTCCCCAAGCACAACGGCAGGGGTGACACGCCTGTGCACTTGTCTTGCAGAGCGGTCCCGCTCCTGGGCTACCTACCTCAGGACCTGATCGAGACCCCCGTGCTGCTGAAGCTTCACCCCAGTGACCGGCCCTTGATGCTTGCCATCCACAAAAAGAGTAGGTCCCTTCTCCTGGTGAATCCTAAAGGCTTTGACAAAAGCTGGTATGTGCCGGGGTGTCTCCCGAGGTCAGCACCCAGCAAAGATAGGTCAGACTGGCCTGCATCGTATGGGTGATGGATGCCCCACCTCCTGCGGGAGTCCTGGCACTGTCCGTGGGTCCTTTGTGGCCTGTGGCCTGAGTGACATCTTATCCTTACTGTTGGTATCCCCGGCAGGTGGGAGGAGGGGGCACAGGTTCAGCTGTGGTGGGCGAGGTAGTGGCCAGGCTGGGGTAGTGGTCACACGTGTGCCCCAAAGCCCAGGCCTCATAGATACAAATGACATGTGGAGACGTCCAGTGGAAGCTAACAGAGATGTGCGTCCTGAAACATCACGATGTGGCCAAAAACAAACATTTGTCGTGATTGAAAGTGGAACGGTTGTATGTATATATGCATAACCCATGGACATAGACAGTAGGGTGGTGAAGGACTGAGGGGGGAGGGGCGGCTAGAAAGGGTCAATAGGGGGAAAGGGGGAACATATGTAATACTTTTAACAATAAAGATTTTTTTTAAATATTTAATATCAATAAAATATAATAATTCAAAAAAAATAAAGTAAAAAGAAGACACACACACACACACAAAGAAAGCTGACTGAGACTGAGAGCTGCAGCTTAGACCAGCTGTTGGCAGCTCTTAAATTTTCAAATAGCCATGAACTCGAGGCATCTGGGCTTGTCTTTTCTCTTCCTGCGAACCTGACTGCTTCTCACCCCCGAACGCTCTTTCCCTCCTAGTCCTGCAGTCTGGCGGGCAGCCCTTCGACTATTCTCCCCTTCGGTTCCGCACCCGGAATGGGGAGTATATCACACTGGACACCAGCTGGTCCAGCTTCGTCAACCCCTGGAGCAGGAAGATCTCCTTCATCATTGGCCGGCACAGAGTCAGAGTGTGAGTGCTCCCAGGGCCCTGGGCCGCTAGGCAGTCCTGTGGGGACCTGCCCCTGCCCTGCCCTGCCCCCAAGTGGGAGGGGCCTAGTTCAAGCAGAGCTGTGAGGGGGAGGAAGAGGGTGGTGAGCAGGCAGGTGGCAGCCTGGGGGGCTGCAGAGAGGAAACGGGGCCTTGCAGGGGTGTGCAGCACAGCCTGACTGTCAGACCATGAATATCATGCAGGGGCCCTTTGAACGAGGATGTGTTCGCTCAGCCATGCGCAGAGGAACAGCCGGCCCTGCACCCCAGCATCCAGGAGCTCACGGAGCAGATCCACCGGCTGCTGCTGCAGGTGAGTGCCCACCCGCAGGACAATCCCTACCTTGTAGGCAGCCTGAGGACTGCTCTGAGTCCTGAGGTCCCATCCTTCCGGCGTCTCACTCTGCCCTGCACGCTGGTGCCTGTTCTCTCGTCCACTGTGTGGGTGGCTTGGGCAAAGTCTGTGCCAGGCCCCGACAGTTGGGCACACCTGCTGCTTGCCCAGGTTGGGGCAGCCCCAGCCTTGCACTTTGGGGTCTGTCTCTGACCTGCAGCCTTTTGCTAATAGCTGAAGGATGCAACTAGACCAGCCGTGGGCAAACTACGGCCCACGGGCCGGATCCGCCTGTTTGCAATGAATAAAACTAAAAAAAAAAAGACCGTACCCTTTTATGTAATGATGTTTACTTTGAATTTATATTAGTTCACACAAACACTCCATCCATGCTTTTGTTCCGGCCCTCCGGTCCAGTTTAAGAACCCATTGTGGCCCTCTAGTCAAAAAGTTTGTCCACCCCTGACCTAGACCCTTTCTCCCAACTCAGCTCCCGAGTCCTGGGTACTGACCCCACATGTCACCTCCCACAGGTGGATGGGGTCACTCCAATTCAGGATGCTGTGCTGGCACGAAGAGGGACTTGTGAACGCCTACCACTATCCTTGGGGACATAGTACTCAAGGAAAACTAGTGCGAGAACAGTAACCCCATGGCTGAGCCGCTCTCGGCTTCCTGGTCAGCAGACTGGGGCAAAACTGTAATATATCGAGTTTAGTTTCTAAAACCCTTACTAGAACCAAGATCGCCCCTCCCCCCCCGCCCCCGCCCCCATGTGAGCAGAGGACCTGTGATCCAGGGACCCTGGTGCTGTGGGCAGAGGCTGAGAGCTGTGAATCGGGCTTCGGGAAGACAAACCCACAGGCCAGCTGTGCCCCTCCCCCAACCCTGTACCTAAGCCTCCTGTCTGCTCTCTCCTCAGCCCGTCCCGCACAGTGGTTCCAGCGGCTATGGGAGCCTGGGCAGCAATGGGTCCCACGAACACCTCATGAGCCAGACCTCCTCCAGTGACAGCAATGGCCAGGAGGACGCCCGCAGGAGGAGAGCAGTACGTCCCTCTGCCCCGCCCCTGGGAACCTGTCTATGGTGCATGCGGGAGTCACAAAGCACATTCAACCAACCCTGGCTGCTCTCTAAGTTCTGTTCATGGGGAGTTACTTTATCATCTCTAAGAGTTGAAGAAGCAAGTCCTGGCCGGGTGGCTCAGTTAGAGCCTCGTCCCATACACCAAAAGGTTATGGGTTCAATCCCTAGGGCACATACCCAGATTGTGGGTTCGATCCCCAGTTAGGGTGCATACGGGAGGTAACCAATCAATGTGAAATCTCTCTCTCCCTTCTCTCTCTAATATCAATAAAAACATATCCTCGGATGAGGATTAAAAAGAAAATAAAGGGGGAAAATAGTTGAAGCAGCTAAAACTGTAGTTAAAGCTTTGGATGAAAAGTTATTTAAAGAAGGCAAATCAAGCAAAAGGGAAGGTTTAACTTTAGGGTAGAAGGAAGAAAATGGAACGTGCATCCCCCTTTCTTTTTATTATTCTTCCAAATCACAGGTCCGTTTTCTCTAACTTGGCCTCACAGATTCCCACTCAGCACCTCCTCCTCCTCGCTGGGATTACTCTGGCTTCTCTCTCTTTGAGGTGGGGCTGAAGCACTATGCAGTCTCCGATAGAGAATAATGTACTTATTTTGTCTTTATTCAAGGAAAATTCTAAAAATGCTAACAAGGTCAAAACCAAAAGTCATTATTCTGATGAATCTGGAGAACAGAAGAGAAAATCTGCTACAGGTAAAAAATTATTCACCCTTTCCTCAGTAAAACTGTAGTCCGGCCAGGTTTTTCTATCTTTCACCTGAACTGTGGGTGGCAGGGAATTTACCCTTTAAATGTGTGCACATCCCCTGCCCTGTCCCTCAGGCAGCAAGGCCTTCACTCCTTCAACACACAGCCCTGCCCAGCCAGTGTGGCTCAGTTGGTTGAGCATTGTCCTATGCATCAAGACGTCACTGGTTCACTTCCCAGTGAGGGCACATGCCAAGGTTACAGGCTCGATCCCCAGTAGGGGGAGTGCAAGAGGCAGCTGATTGATGATACTCTCTCATCAATGTTTCTCTCTCTTCCTTCCTCTCTCTGAAATCAATAAAAACATATTTAAAAAGCAAAAACAAAAAGCACAGCCCTAAGCTTCTGTGCGGGCATCTGGCACCCTGCAGGCCCTCGCTCCACGGAGTGGCCGTGGGCCGTATGTTTGCACGCAAGTGAACGTGTGCATACACTCGCACCAAGGGCGCTGCCCAGCTGTCCTGCAAACACTCAAATACCACCCTGAGTGGAAATGCCGGCTTTGCTCCTGGGCTGCCTTCTCAAGTGGGGCCCCACCAGCATGGGGACCTGTTAGTCCACCCCCACTGCAGCCTGACCCTGCCTTACCGTGTCACGACTTTACACCCTCATGCTTGGGCTCCTGCTCAGGTGTGCACATGCATGCTCCCCAGGCATCTGCCCTGGTGGGCTCTCACTCATCCTTTGTGCTTGGGCCACATCTTTCCAGGGAGCCTCCTAGGGAATCTTGGGGCCAGAGCTCACTTCTGGCCAGGACTGTTGGCCTCTGGGTAGGCGCACATTGCTGGGTGCTGGGGACCCACTAATGAGCAGGACACAGCTTTGCCCTGGACGCCCCCAGGGGAACAGCGTGCAGTGCACGTGGTGACAAGAACAGAAGTGTCCATGGCAGGCTGCCCCAGAGGTTGCTGAGTCACCTTTGAAAAGAAGGGACTTCCAGGAGGCAGGGAATACTAATTGATCATAAAGCACCTGGGATTTATTGGCCCCAGAGTTTCAGGAGTTCGAGTAAGAGCTGGCCTCACCCACTGCTGAGTCCCTGACCCAAATGCCACTGAGTTATATCCCAGTCAACAGCATCCTCCAGGCTCCATCCTCAGACGGCACAGTGGCCGCTGCCCCAGCAGGGCTGCCCAGGTGTCAGGCTGACTCTGGGTTTCTGTGTCTGTGAGCCATGTTCTGAGTCCCCAGCTTTATCCTTAGGTAGAAATATACAGAGTGTACTCTTTGGGGAAAACAAGTATTAACTGAAAGCAATTTTGCCATTCTTTCAGAAATGCAAAGTAGTTCTCCTGCTCAGACGACAGCTGTCCCGGCCGTAGAGGACAGCTCCGGTGCCAGCCCACCCACTGCCGCCTTTCCAGAGGAGCTGGCCTGCAGGAACCAGCCGGCCGGCTCCTACCAGCAGATCAGCTGCCTGGACAGTGTCATCAGGTACAGGCACCTCCCACCTCCCTACTCCATGGTCTCCTGCTGTCCAGGCTCTGGCCCCATTATGTGAAGCCGTTTGTGATCCTCCTCACAGGTACTTGGAGAGCTGCAGTGAGGCCACCACCCTGAAGAGAAAGTGTGAATTCCCCTTGAATGCTTCCACGCAGAAGGCCAGTGACAAGCGAAAGGCCACAGGCAGCCCCAGGCCACCTCCTGCAGGTATCCTGTTTGGGCTGTTAAATCCCCCGGTGAGATCAGGCATCATTAGAAGGGCTGGAGCCCCCTTCGCTCCTCCCATGGGAGTTCTGAGTGGCTTTGGGGACACAGTGTGGGGTGTAAGCTCTTTTGTAAATGACTATGGTACATAAACATCAGCCACCTTCCTATAAGAGAGATGTAAAGGTGACTCTGGACTCTGAGAACAGGACCCCTGGGGCTGCTGGAGGCCCAGGGGCGCCTGAGGTTATCATTCTCAGGCTGGTCCTTTTCCATGATGTCTGAATATCCACTTAGGTTATCAGTGGTCGGCAAACGCATTAGTCAACAGAGCCAAATATCAACAGTACAACGATTGAAATGTCTTTTGAGAGTCAAATTTTTAAAATTTAAACTATATAGGTAGGTACATTGTTATTAACTTAATTAGGGTACTCCCAAGGCTTAGGAAGAGCCACACTCAAGGGGCCAAAGAGCCGCATGTGGCTCGCGAGCTGCCGTTTGCCGACCACAGGGTTAGGTTAAACGGCAGGCCACTTGAACGTGGTGCTCGTCCCGGTGGTCATTACTAGGATGGGAAATCAGGTATCCCGTTGTGATGTAAGCACATGCAATTGGACAGTCATGCTGTGATGGACAGTCTGTGCTCTGCCCACAGACCTTCGAGGGGCTGGGCTCCCAGCAGAGGCCCCTGACCTGAGCCCCCTGAGCTGCCCAACCGCCTGCCCCTCCCAGATGACCCAGGATGTAAGAGTCGAATTGTTCCCATTTCAGAATTTCTCTTCTCTACTTTCCTCCCATGAATAAACACGTGAAGATAAGCTGTCACATGCCAGGATGTGTGCAATCACTTGGGTATAGGATCTGCTAGACAGTGGCATTTCTTACACAAATGGTTCGTTCTCATTGCATTTTTGTGTCTCCTTCCATTTTCTCTTATAAAGAGGCAGTGGTGCCCTCTAGAGCAAACACACATGCGGACGTCAGCGCGCACTTGACCTCGCTGACACTGCCCGGCAAGGCGGGGAGCGTGGTGTCTCTTACCAGCCAGTGCAGCTACAGCAGCACCATCGTGCACGTGGGTGACAAGAAGCCACAACCTGAGCTAGGTACGCTTGTTGCCTCTGGGATAATGTTGAGAGGAAGCTAATTTTAACAATCAAAATGAGAAGTTTTGACTGCCATCTTAAATTTTTCTTTTAAGTTTATGCAAGTGCAGTGCAGCCCTACCACAGCCTGATAAGGGAGTCCAGGAAACCCAGAGACCTGACGTGCAGGGCAGGGTGTGGCCCCACCTGTTCTGATTCCCGCTGTGCTCTGGTGCCACCTACTGGCAGTTGTCTGCTCAGACGTGGTGGTGCTGAGCCAGGGATCCAAAGCAACCTCCCCTCACTGGGCTGAGAGCACCCTCAGGCGTTGGATCTTTCTCCCCGCTTCCCGTGCCAGCTTCGCCCTTCCCTTCAGGGCCCCTGCTTCCCTGTGTGAGGGCAGGAAAGAGCCAGTACAGGTCTGAACAGCAGTACAGCCAAGGGTGGCATCTCCGAGTTCTCCAGAAGAGGGAGACGATGAGTAAAAAATACATGTCAGAGTCAGTGTCCAGACCCCCTTCCAGGATGGTCATTGCATCCACCTGCCCCTGTCCTGTCTGTACCCCAGTTCCACATGATCCAAGCTGTCATGTCCATAGTCCTGAACCTGGGCGGGGCACACAGCAGCCTTAGTCTGTTGTGCTCTGAAGCTGATGACAGCCAGAGCGTACCTTCCCTGTCAGAGGCTAAAGCCCCGAGTACCCGAACTTCAGCCTAAGCAGACTGACCCTGGAGCCCTGGGGAGCAGGGTCTCTGCCATTGCTGTTTGCCTTTTATTGTGAACCTTCTCAGAAGGCTACACAGACATTCATGGACTGCACCCCCGTGTGGGGGCTTCGTGCAGTATCTCACATGGCAGTGGTCTCAGGGTCTGTTAGTTGTTTTAAAGCACAGGGGCCCTTGCAGATGAGTGGTCTGCATCTTCTCTTACAGAGACGGCGGAAGACCCTGCAAGTGGACCTGAGTCCCTGGACTGCCCCGTGGGCCCCGCCATGCCCTGCAGCCTCAGCCAGGAGAAGGAGCCCTTCCGGAGGCTGGGCCTCACCAAGGAAGTGCTGGCCGCCCACACCCAGAAGGAGGAGCAGAGCTTCCTGTTGAAGTTCAAGGAAACGAGGAAACTTAGTGTCCTCCAGTCTCACTGCACTTATTACTTACAAGAAAGATCCAAGGGGCAATTGAGTGAAAGAGGTAGGTGGTGATACCTGAATTGTATGTGGATTTAAAAAACCTTTAATCCTAATAGTACTGAGTCAGGGCAGCTCTCAAAGTGTGAAATACCCCCAGCTTAGGAAGCCTGAGTTTGTAAGAGTGCTGTTGGGACTTTACTAGTGATGCCATCTGTTTCCATGGACCCCTCTCAAGGATGTCATCTCGTGTTCCCCAGGGAACGGTGCTTTAAATAGTGGTGGAGTGCAGGATGGGGCAGTTGCAATGCCACCTCATCAGACACTTCTTGCCTGGGTGACTGTGAGGTGCAGGGGACTCCACCCCACCTGCCCACCCCAGTGGAGCTCTCAGAAAACCAGTTAGGCCACAGCTAACTCACCCCAAAGAGAATGGGCACAGTACTGATGAGGTACTTGGTGTTGGCTCCTGAGGAAGGAGGGAGTCCAAGCTGATACCAGAAGATGTACCCTCCTGGCCAGGCTGACTCAGGGCTGGGCTGCAGCCTCCAGAGCCTGTGGGTGCATGCGCTGTCCTTTAGGCAGATTGCCACTGGGTGGTTGAAGGGCAAGGGGTGAGGGAGAATAGACTGGCTTCTTTGCCCCTTTTCTGGTCCAGGAGCCTGGCTCCAGACCCCTAGCCACCTTCCCAGCCCCCATGGGCAAGGCTGGGCTGGTCAGAGATGCCACCTTTTTCCTGGGCTCCCAGGGCTTGACTCAGGGTCAGGGTTATCGAGTGCAGGAGACACACAGCACAAGACCCCACTCCCTTGGGCCTCAGGGCAGGCACAGCAAAGTGAATATGAAGTGAGAGAGGCCAACACCCTCTGTAAAGATTGTCTTTTCTACTCTTTGTCATTTTCTTCTTCCCCAGACCCTAGGTCACTGCCAGGCTTTAGGGAACCTCTGGAAATTACAAAAAGGTGTCCTCCCAGCCCTGGGCAGACCCACCCAGTGGACCTGGCTTGGGACAGAGTTGCAGCTCCTTGCCCCCTTGGCCCAGCAGTTTGCGAGGTGCACAGACTGCAGAGCTGTGTACAGCGGCCTGCCCAGACTCTGACATGGCATTCCAGGAGCCCAGTGCTCTAGCTACCAGTCCCACCAGGGGCAGATTTCTTTCTGGAAGAACACCCGCTAGAGAGTCTGAATCACAAAACCTTCGCCCCCTTAGCAGTTTACCTCTGGCTGGCCCACTTGCCTCCAGCATGTAGCAAAGGTGAGGACCCCCTTGGCACGGCTGACAGGGGTCCCACACACCTGCTACAAAACCCTGAGTCAGCCTGTGTGCCATGACAGGAAAACCTGAGGTTCCTGGGACCATCCCGTTGCCCATCCCAGCCAGGCTTGGCATGACTCTTCCCCCCCTCAACCCCGCCTCCACTCCCCGCCCGGCCATAGTACTCCTGGTGCTGGCCCATGGCCAGGGGAGGCAAGGGGACATGCCCAGAGTCCCTTTTGTCACCAGTTGAGACCCTCCAGCCAATTAAAGAAGCTCAGCTCAGCCACTTGTCACAGGAGAGGAAGAATCTGGCTCTGAGGGCAAGTGCTCCTTCCCGCCCTTTGACTTGCACTCAGGTGGAATCACAGGCGAGACAGGAAGCAGCTCTTTTTAAGGACCAGTAGTGGTAAAGCTCATAAAATTCAAAAATAGCTTAGATGACATCCGATTTCACAAACCAGTACTGGGGAACAGGTTAGAATTGGCAGCTTTATGATTTTTATCTTTTTGGACAAATAGAACCTTTTTAATGCCACTTATCACCATCATTATTTCATAAAAGAAAGGACATTTTAATGTCAGAAGAAAACAAATGTGATCTTGCAATTAAAAATGGTCCTTTAAATTGATTGAATCCAGTTTTATAAAAACTTAACACTTTGCCCTGATTTTTCTCCCTGCATCAAGGATCAGGGAAACTGTATGGTGTTTTTCACAATTCCCAGGCTAACATTTGGGAACACTGGACTGTTAAACTAGGAGGTGCCTTCAAGTTTCTGAGATTCTATGTGTCTCTGAGAATTGACGTAATAGAAATCACGTACATTTTCAACTCTGGTTGTTTTCCCATTATTGTAGCTGCTCCTGGACTAAGAAACACTTGTGGAATAGATTCAGCTTGGAAAAAAACTGGGAAGAACAGAAAACTCAAGTCCAAACGGGTCAAGCCTCGGGACTCCTCCGAGAGCACTGGGTCTGGGGCGTCCGTGCCCCACCGGCCCCCGCTGGTGGGCCTGAATGCCACAGCCTGGTCACCATCAGACACATCCCAGTCCAGCTGCCCTTCGATGCCCTTCCCTACCCCAGTGCCAGCTTACTCCCTGCCAGTGCTCCCAGCCACAGGAATTGTACCAGTGCCAGGGGCCGTGGCAGCAGCACCTATGGAGCCCCACACCAGCTTCGCGGTGCCCGCTGTGCCCATGGACATCCAGCCCCCACCTTTCACGGCCCCCTTAGCCCCAGTCATGGCCTTGGTGTTACCCAGCTATCCCTTCCCCACAGTGACCCCGAACTTGCCCCCGACCTTCTTCCCTGGCCAGATGATCCCTGCCTCGCAGCCTGAGTTCCCTGGTCAAACCTCACCCCCCAAACAGTCGTGTGCTTGTCCTCGGGCAGAGCGTTGGCCACCGGTGTCACGTGTGGCCACCCCAGCTACACCAGTGTCGTCCACCGGGCCGCTGGGTCGGGCCTCCCCACCACTTTTCCAGTCCCGTGGCAGCTCACCCCTGCAGCTCAACCTGCTCCAGCTGGAGGAGGCCCCTGAGGGCAGCACTACAGCTGCAGGGACAGCAGAGACAGCAGGTGCTGGGCCGGACTGCAAACCAGGCACATCCTGGGACTGGCCACCAAAGGCACCGCCGAATGCAAGGATCCCCTGCTGCTCTTTCTCTACAGCGGGTGGCCCCGCAGCACCCACGGTAGGTCATCATCTCAGACGCCAGTGTTTTAGGCCAAAGGTCCCACCAAGTATTTCAATTTTGACATAAATACCTGTGCTGGAAATTAATGTTTTCGAGCTCAACAACCTCATCAGAGTAGACGTGGGGCCTTTTTATTGTCTTGGATCTAAACAAAGGAAGATTGATTGTCTGATGATAAGTGAAAGGTCCAAACAGCCCACATGACTTTGTGACTTGTTGTCATGGGCCTTGAGGTTGTTTGTTTGTTTATTTTTTGTTTTGTTAATCCTCACCGGAGGATATTTTTCCCATTGTTTTTTAAAGAGAGTGGAAGGGATGGGAAGGGGGTGGGGCAGAGAGAGAGAAACATTGATGTGAGAGAGACACATTGATTGGTTGCCTCCCACACATTCCCCGACCAAGGCCAGGGATTGAACCTACAACCCAGGTAAGTGCCCTTGATCGAGAATCAAACTCTCAACCCTTAGGTACATGGGGGACACTCTAACCATTGAGCACACCAGCCAGGGCGGGCTTGAGATTTTATGTGACAAATATGAGCACACAGCACAGCAGGGTAAATGCCAGAACTCAGCTCCTGAGAGGGCGGTGGGGGCAGAGGTTCTCACAGTGAGCCAGCTGCCCCATTATCCCGTGCCTTTAGGACTGCTGGCGTATTCTTAATCCATTAATGAAATTATAGTTTCCCACAGGTTTTGTGTCCTGACAGCTCAGTGTGCAGTGGCCTGAACTATGGCAGTATAACTAGTAGGTGCTCTGTGGAGGGCATACTCCCAGGGGAGAAAGTGGGACCCAGGAAACAGATCAGCCTCCAATGTGTCTGCCACCCTCCCCACTCCTGTTTCTGGGGTCTGGCCTACAGTCCCAGTTCCAATGGCTGAAGGGTTGGGGTGCTCCCAGGATTGCCTCCACTCTGGGGCACAGGTACAGGAAGCCAGAACCCACCACCAAAGAGCAGCCTTGGGGTATGTGGTGGCCTCTTCTACCTCTGTGTCGGCTGTAGTGGAGGGACAGGCATAAAACTTTCCCCTCGGGGATGTGAGAACTGTGATTCTCCCAAAATCTACTTGAATGAGATGCATTCATAGGCCACCACCTAGATCCTCGCTGTAGTCCTAATACCCACAGGTCAGTTCATTTGGCACATGAAAAGGCAGGGTCTGAGGAGGAATGCCATCCACTATCTCCCTGAGTGGCCTTGTGCAGACAGCCGCTTTGCAGCTGCCCCCCAGCTCTGAGGGGCTATGTCCTGACTCTGTCTTGACTGGTGTCTTCTCTTGTTCCTAAAGCAAGATGAGCCCTCAGATGCCCAGAACAGTGATGCCCTCTCCACGTCCAGTGACCTGCTTGACCTCTTACTGCGCGAGGACCTCTGCTCAGCTGCAGGGTCAGCCCTGTCTGGAAGTGGGGCCTCTGCCACCTCAGACTCTCTGGGCTCCAGCTCTCTGGGCTGCGATGCATCCAGAATTGGGACAGGTATGTTGGTACCTGAGGTTCTTGGGCAGCCTCCACTTCTCCCGCACTAGAGGGACCCAGCTGCACCAGAGCCACAGGCCATATGTGCTCAGGGCCTAGCACCAGGTGCACACCAGGTGTCCAGCTGGCACTCAAAGCTCACAGCAGTTCAGACAGGCAGACAGGGGCTCTGCCTCTAGGTGGCGGGCCCTACCCAGTCAGAACTCGCATTCTCACCTGCTGGCTTTCATGTCAGGGCCACTGCAGGCCTCACACCCCACTGGCCCTTACTGGACCCTCCCCCAGGCTCCCTGGGCAGGCTGGGAGGGCTGGCCAGGGTTTGCCTTCCTGAGTTGGTTCCCCTTGGGTAAGCCTAGCATATGGTTGGCGTGCTTCACCCACCAGATCGCACAAGTGTGATCCGTACACATTAAAACGGGTCCTCCCCACAAACTCAAAGATGCCTGCTGCCCCAAACAGAACTTCCATTTCTCCATTCTCTGGCCTTGCTCCTTCCGGGAGGCTCGCTGGAACGCGCTTAGGCCAGCTGCCTCCACTTACAAAGCCAAAACCAACTTCTCTGTGGCCTGTTTTGGTGGAGAGGTGTTGAGCGCTAAGAAAGGGAGCATGATTTCTAAGACAGGCTCCACCTGTGCTGCTCAGGCCTCCCCAGGAGAGCCACTCCATGGCACTAGCTGGTATCCCATTTTAATTATCCAGGTAATTCAAGGACTGGGAAGAAAAGGGGAAACCCACCAAATAAGTTACCAAATAAGACTCTCGGCTCCCTAACCCAGCATGTGTCCACAAGCATGGTCTGCAAGGCACTAGTGGTCTAACCCGCCACTTTTTGTGTGTTTAAAGGCAGTAGTAACACCAGCCACACCAGCAAATATTTTGGAAGCATTGACTCTTCAGAGAATAATCACAAAGCAAAAGTGAAGGCAGACATGGAAGAAAGTGAGCACTTCATCAAGTATGTCCTCCAGGACCCCGTCTGGCTGCTGATGGCCGACACCGATGACAGTGTCATGATGACGTACCAGATGCCTTCCCGGTAATCACTCGGCCTTTCCCTAGGGATAGGGAAGGGTTGGGTGAAAGAGTCCTCAAACAAGGCCGCCAATCAGGGGGCACTTCCCTCTGAAAGCCACCTCTCAGGTTGAGTTGAGTGCAGCAGATAGAGAAGCAGGTTCCCTCTCGATGGTTGCCTGGGCCCATAGAGCCCTTCAGAGTAATCCATTGCAGGCTGGGGAAAGACAAGCTCCCGGCGACCCTGTGGGTGTCATACTACACATTTATGAAGCATTTATGCCAGCTTCATCTCTTTTGCTCTGTTTCCCAGTAACCTTGTGGGGTAAATGGGGTGTGTATGTCTTAGAGATGCAGAAACCAATGGCCACCAGCTGCTTTGTAGTGAATCGGGTCTGTCCCCAGCTGCTCCAAGGAACATTCATGGTCCCTGCCTCTGTGGAGCTTCTTCCATAGGGCAGGTGGGAGGAAGGAAGGGAAAGAGGGAGAGAGGAGGGAAGGAAGGGAGGATTAGCTCTGAGGTCAGGACAGCCAGGTCTCTGGGTTAGGGTAGACCAGGGCTCCCTCTCCAGGGCCGCTTCCCGCTGGCCCAGCATTGGCAGGAGGCAAGGGAAGGTATTCTACCCACCGCCTCCTGGTAGGAACTGCCCAGATGAATCACCCTGTACAGAACCAAGCATCTGCAGACACCCAGCTCCTGTGTATAATTTAAGTAAAAGTAAAATTGTGACTTGGATTGTCATTTTAATAGAAAAACCACAGATTATTACTAGGGATCGTAAGTAACCCGAAACAGGGGTAATCTATTTTAAATGAAAAGGAAATTTGCATTAATCAAATTCATCTAAAATTCCATTATTGATACTGAAAGAAAAGTGTGTTCTTTAAGGGAAAAGACATTCTAAAGCTTATCTCTTTCTAAACACGCTGTGAAGAAACGTAGACGCGGTTTTGAAGGAGGACAGAGAGAAGCTGAAGTTGCTGCAGAAACTGCAGCCCCGGTTCACTGAGCGGCAGAAGCAGGAGCTGCAGGAGATGCACCCATGGATGCGGGCGGGCGGGCTGCCCACGGCCATCGATGTGTCGGTAAGCTCACCGAGCTGCTTTTCTGATAGTGCATGAAAAGGCTCTCAGGAGCATCCGGTAATCTGCTTACTGTTCTGTGTGTTTAAAACTTCCAGAATTCAATGTTTATTGAAAAAGAGAAAAGATACTGCCACACTATAAGTCTACTTCAAAGAACTTTCTTCCAGTGGCTTTTCAACATTGTTCCCAAAAAGGTCTTCTGAAATATCTAATCTCAATCGTGTGTGAAATTTGAGTTTTTTTCTTTCTTTTAGTTTTGTTTTCTGTTTAAAAAAAGAATACCGTACCCTGACCAGATAGCTTAGTTGGTTAGAGCAGCGGTCACCAACCGGTGGTCCGCGGACCACTAATGGTCCATGAGGTCCGAAAGGTTGGTGACCGCTGGGTTAGAGCGTAGTTCCAATATGCCGCCAAGGTTGTGGGTTCAATCCCATCAGGGCACATACAAGAATCAACCAATGAATGCATAAATAAGTGGAACAACAAATCGATATTTCTTTTTCTCTCTCTCTCTCTTTCAATAAGTAAATAAAAATTTTTAATCTTCCTATGAGATTAGATATTTAAAAGACCTTTTTGGGAACAATGTTGGAAAAAAAAGAACACCTCTCTTATCATAACCCCTCAATATCCATGTAGGCTGTTCAGTAACGATAAGAATATTAAATTTCTGCTCTTAATGTCTGCCTCTCTCCAGCTGCCCCTTCGGTCTATGTTCCTTTCTGAGAGTTCCAAAGACATGTCTGTACCCCAGCCTCTCTCCCCACTCCCTCCTGAGGCCCGCACCCTGGAAGCTGCTCTTGCCAGTTCTCGGTGTCCTCTGAACTGCTGCAGTTTTTGTCCCCGTCTTACACAACGCTGACCTTAGCGGCATCTGGAGTGAGTCACTCCCCTTAGGACCCTCCCTCCCTTGGCACATTATTGATATCTCACTTTACAGATGAGAAAACTGAGGCCAGTAACTTAACTCCAGGTCCCACAAGGCAGACCGCCTCTCAGATCAGGGTCCAGCAGGGCTGGCCTCCTCCCAAAACAGGCGCGACTCCCACAGCCGAGCAGGACCCTCCGAAACAACTGGCCCTCCTCTCTCCTCCAGCAGCCTCACGGCTCACACCTGGTCACTGTACCTCACTCGGGTTGAACTACATTTTTGTTACTGATTTCATGTTTTTTCTCTTAAGGAATGTGTTTACTGTGAAAGCCAAGGAAAAAGCAACTTTTGTGTACCATATGAAGAAGACAGTCCTCCTCTGGGACTCAGCGAAGCCACAGACAAAAAAGAAAAGGAAAATGGACCTCCCCTGAGCCACAAAAACGAAGGGCAGACGTAACTGCCCCCAACCACCCCCGCCCACTCCAACAGCCAATCTACCTTAGACGGTGATGGAAGAGGACAGAGCTTCACAATTTGTTTCTAAGGAAATGGACAGATAAATTTTTGTTGTTTTTTTGTTTTGTTTTAGGAAAAAAATCCATAGTTTTTTGGAGGGTGGGAAGAGTTTGGAAAGAAATACATTTTTATATTTAAAATATAAGTGTGGACTTTGGAGGACAAGGAAGAGACTTAGCTGTGATATAACTTAAGAAAGACTGAATCCCTGTGTAAGTGTCGGGGAGGCCACCTGAGCGCTCACAGAAGTTCCTGGACCAACTAGGCTTCCGGGCGTGTCCAAGGCATCACACCAGGCTGTGCCCGTGTGTGACTCCACATGAGCTGAGGGCCGCCTCCTGTAGCTCTCCAGGGTGAGTGTGCGCGGATCAAATTCTGTCCTCTCTCGGAAGCTGCTTTTTATCTAAATTATTATCTAGATGTTTTTAAAACATACCAAGTGGAAATGACGGCCTCTCCTAATTTTCTTTTTGAAAATGTTTCGCATTAAGTGGTGTGAAGCAAACCGGCAGCTTTGGCTTCAGGCACCGTAGTGCCAGATATTTCTACCTGATGTCACTCGAGTTTGGGGTGAACAAAGTTGAAATGCCTGCTCTGGACTAAGGCCTAGTGATTTGTGTAACCAACTCCATCAGATTAACACTCACCCAGACCCTTCTGTGCATTGATGTAGAACATCATTCTTGGCTCTTTTTCAGACCATGACCAGTATGTACAAGAAAGCATGTTGTCTGTCATCTCTTCATGGTGACTTCCCCCTGCAAACCGGGCTTTGATCCCTGCGTTTGGGACCCATTTGTGTTCTTCAGTTGACGAGTCCCAGACATCAGCTCTGGCTCAGGCAGAGCAGCCGCTGATACTGTGAGCTCACCCCTCCCACCACACCCTGGGCTGGGACAGCCCTTAGTCTCTTCATGAACCTCACCTCACCTGGTGCAGCTTCTGTCTCTTTGGTGACTTCCCCCAGTTTCTCTGGCACTTTCAGGTCATTGGGACACTTGGGGAAGAGTGAGACCAGTCTGCCCAACTTTTTGCAAAACCTCATGTTGCATCATATATCCCAAAGATTGTTTGGAAAAAATTGTATTTGTCCCTGGAGTGAATGAGAAGTTCCCACTGATGAAGCAGTTGACAAAACTGCATTGAGTCTATAGAAACTTAAAGGAAGCAGGTTTCTGCTTGTTCTTTGATGAAGAAGTGGCTACCAGAATAGTGAAGTCCCCTTTAATCCAGTTGGTTTTCATAATGAAACCATCCTATTCTTGAATATTAATCCTATTTTTTATTAACTCAAACACAAAACAGTGTCTAACTTTTTAAATTTTATTTACAAAGTAATATCACCTTCAGGAACCAAGTTGAGGATGTAGTCTGTGCCTCTGTGTGATAATTAGATGCTACAGACAGCTTCCTGCCTCTGAAGTGAGGTCCTGAAGGGATTACATGTGTCTCCTGAACACAAACTGCCAAAACGTTCTCTACTGTTACGAGTGTTACTGCCGGCATTATTCATTATTTAAGGCACACCCCTGGTTGTTGACTGCATAGCTCCATTGTGCTGAGAATGACACAGGAGCATTTTGTGAAATTGTTTACACGGTGCCATGTTTCCTTTAGTGTATGTGCTGACACAGGTGTTAGGAAAACCTTTCCTCAAATTTAAACTGAGCCTTCTTTTTAATATATTTCTAAAATGTGTGTGAATAAGCTCCCAGAGTCTGCGTGATGACTGGTTAGCCTTGCCGGACAAGTGATTGGTTCACGCCCAAACCAAGCTTTCTCCGCCCAGTGCAATATGTTGTTTACTGCTTGTGTCTTTTTATGACTTTTTTGCCTTTTAGAAAATTGGTAAATAAAGCAAGTATATTTTTATTTTTATTTGTATTTTTAATGTAACACAGAGACAAAACTGAATAGAGATAAAAGATTATCAAAAGGTGTTTTTAAAAGAACTCTAGAAATTCTGCCGTACAGACTCTTCTCACAAAGGACCCCCTCTTCTTCCCTGCACGGCAGCTTCGAGTTGGTCCCTTCCTGTCTGAGTGTGGCCCTCCCCAGTGGACTTTCTAGGATATAAAGCTCATCCTGTAACCACTTGTGGGTGGGGTGGGGCGGGGCGGGGCGGTGTGTTCTGCTCAGCCCCGGAGCTCCCCTCTGCTCTGCATAACCCCAGCCACTGACTTTGTCCCCTTGTGCCCTCCCAGGATTGTCTGTCCCGCCTGGGCTGGCTGCTTAGATGCTGGCCACAGGCCTGAGGATAGGGTGGCAGGGCCAGGAAAGCCTACTGTCTCCATCAGAGATGATACAGGCAGCACAGCACCATCTCCCCCAGCCCACCTGCCCAGTCCTTCCTTCTGTCATGATAAAGCCATGCAGGGCCTGGTCAAAGGAGTAGAGGATCATGGGGGGTCAGAGTGAAGAGATGAGCGAATTGTGGACCCAGTCCCCAGCCTTTCAGAATCAATCTATAGAGAAGGAAAGGAAGGCTTAATTGTGATTACAGGACATAATATAAAGGGATATAAAGCTCATCCTGTAATCAGGAGGCTTGACCCTGCCTCCTGGCCTGGCTGTCTACATCCACATGGTGATGGAGGGAGGGGGACAAAAGGCTAAGTCCTCCCAGTGAGCACAGGGGCTTCTGAAAACTGGCCTTAAATAGCCAGATATGGCTGTTTCACTAAAGCTCTGAGTGCCTTTGGGGACCCTTAATTGCATTTTTATTTACCATACTAGAGGCCCCATGCACAAAATTCGTGCAAGGAGCTCGACCCTCACAGCCCCAGCATTGCCCTGAAGGTCTTCTGGAAGGTCATCCAGACAGTCATTCTTCTATTCGGTCTAATTAGCATATTAGCTCTTTATTACATAGGCTAACCCCAAGGGCACAACACCCTCCGTTCTTACAAACTAAAAGGAGCTGCTCAGCGCCCCTGGGCTGATTGCCCACAAGGGGCCTAGACATCCACAGGCTGCCCACTGCCTTTGTTCCCTGGGGGTTTATGGCCTGCCACCTCTGTCCTATCTGGTCCCCCTGTGACCACCAGAGCCCCGCCCCGCCTCTGCTGGCCGCTGCTCCTGGGCCTGAGGGGATCAAAGGGTATGCGCAGGAAGTCTGAGCTCAGGCAACCTTTGAAGGTGGGATCAGTCCAAGGGACAAATGGCAGGAAATAGGTCTGCTCAGGGAGCCCATGTTAAGGAGGAAGTGAGGACTTGTGGCCCCAAGATGGAGTAGCCAGGCTTCTGTAAGGAAAAGGCCAAACAAGCCAACTAGTGGCCCACTGAGAGAAAATTGAGGCTGACTTCAAAGATGGGGCCTTGGGCAACTTCCAGTCCAATCAAGACTAACACACCTGTTCTATCCTGATGCTTTTTTCCCCCCAAGGGCACTTGGTCATATCCCAGTTGGACATATCCCAGCACTTAATTTTTCCTTCCTTCAACTCTAAACAGCATTCTTCAACACCACCCCCCCCCCCGCCACCCCACCCCCACCCCATGCAAGACAAGGCTTTCAGGTCCCAGCCCTCCTTTCTCCTCCTCCCTTCTCAGGACAACTATCTCCTGTCCTTTCTTTTTACAACCAATTTTATATTATGTCCTGTGATCATAATTAAGCCTTCCTTGCCTTCTCTATAGATTGATTCTAAATGCTGAAACCCTACGAATAGTGTTGTGACTGTGAAAAATTTGGCTACTGAGCCAAATAATGTGCTGAGATTATTCTGGAACTGCTTTTTTTTTTTTTTTTTTTTGCTTTTTTTCTGGAGTTCCTTGTTGCTTTTCATTTTTTGCTTGCACCATTTGCCTTTATTTGTCCTCCTTGGCCCCCACTCAGTACCCAATCAGGTGTTCTATTGATCTTTTCCCTGAGGCCTCCCCCAGGGTCCTGATCATCCGGTTCCATTGTGAGCTGACTTTCATGGAGAGCACTCTAAAACACGTTTGGCCTTGTTCAAATAATATAATGGCTAATGACAGGGGTATGAATAATAATTTGAGAAATATCACTGAGTTTATTTTTCCATATCTCAGCTTCTCAAAGTAGTGAAAACTTAACTGTAGGTGTGTGTGGGTGTGGGTGTGGGTGTGGGTGTGGGTGTGGGTGTGGGTGTGCGCGCACACGAGCGCAGGGCTGTTTCCTTTCCTGGAGTGACGTCTAAATGGCAAAGAAGAATTAAGTTACAGGCCAGCTTGGGGTCCACCCCCTAACTCTGCCAGAGCCCCCAGTAGGTATGGATGATGGCAGGCCAGTTGGGTCTCTGAGCAACCAGGAGAGGGCAGAAGGAAGAGAGCTGTTTTCTGCCTTGGGAAGGAGACTGAAGACAACAGGGTGACCAAAGTAAAAGAGCAGGTTCATACCTGGGTGAGTAGTGCTGGGCTGGGGAAGTCTCAGGGGCCCACTCACAAAGAAGCAACCAAGAGGCAGCTCAGACACAGGTGAGAATCAGCAGAAGGGGCTCTCAAGTAATAATAGAAGTCAGTGAGGTGACTTTGGGAACCTTCAAACCTCTACTGAAACTAGCCCTGCCTGTGAGGTCCCTCTGGCGGGGAGCCAGAGTGAAATAGCCGCCTGGAGGCTGCCAGGTCTGCCTTAAGTGGCTGGGGATGGGGTGGGGATAGCTTCTACGGCCTAGTCCTACCAATCCACAGTTCCTGGACATTCCCTACCCACCCAGTGCTCCTAGGAGACCAGGTAGATAGGGGGCCCTAGATCAGTCTATAGGCTTGACCAGCGATGGAGGTACAATCCTAATCCTAATCCCTGGTGAGTAGTAGAGCACTGGTTAAGGGTGCAGTGCTCCTGTGGAACAGGTGCACTCCCACCAGGCGAGAGAATAAGGAAGCTGAGACCTGAGCAGTGAGGAAATAGCCATTGAAGGGGGAGTCTGGAGAGTGCTCTTGGTGAAAGGTGATGCTACAAGGCATCTTGGCATCTGGCTCTTCCTGGTGGTGAGAACGTAGGCCCGTGGGGCAGGGGCCTGACCAGGGTCCCCAGGGTGCTGTCCAAGGGCGAGCCTCCACGGCCCACAGATCCCACCCGCATGGAGGCTGGCGGCAGATGGGCGGCCCGCGGTGGGGGTGGCGGTCGTCTGGCGGACACAGGCGCGCCCGCCTCCTGCCCGCGGGACAAAGCCGGCAGCGACAAAAGAGCGGCCAACACCTGTCTCTCTTGGCGCGGCCGCGGCTTTTCTCCGCAGAAGCGGCTGCAGCTGCCAACTGTCACGGGCATCAAGTTACGGGGTCCAGACGGCGGCCTCTGCGAGCCTGGCGGGGGATGGGGGGCAGGAGGGTAAAGGGAGCCGAAGGGGGGGGGGACACGGCGGGAGGGATGAAGGAGACTGAGGAGAGGGGGGCCAGGCGAAGGACCAGGGATGGGGACCAGGGAAGGGCGGGAGGTGGGGAATAATCAGGGGGTAGGGGGTGAGCTGGGATGGGGACAGGAAAACGGGGGCTGCGACCGGGGAGGGGTGGGCGTGGAGCTAAGAGGGGAAAGGGAAGTCCAAGGGGAACGAAGGAGCGAAGGATTAGGATTAGGAGGAGATAGAGGCTCAAGGGGGACGGGATGATGTCCAGCTGTGGGGGCTGCGGGGCAGAGGAGGGAAGGACAAGGTGGGGAGAATGACCAGAGACGGGGAGCCTGGAGGTGCGGCAAAGCCGATGAACCTCGCCCCATTAGTATCCCCGCGCAGACGGAGGGCGGCGGAGTCCAGACACACAAGTCCGCAAGAAACGCAAGGGGGCCACGGCCCGCTCCCGTCCCAGTTGCCTGCCCTATGGGCTCCCACTTCCGGCGCTCTGCTGCCACGCCAGTCCAGACCCGGGGTCCCCTCCAATCTGGAGACCACGGGCTTGACTGACTTTGCCCGCCATGTCCAGAACTCAGCACTCAGCACTCAGCACTCAGCGCTCCTCTGGGGAGGCACTTGGTGAACCCAAGTGTGGATGCATATGTGGATGGATGGATGGATGGATGGATGGATGGATGGATGAGCTCCTGCTCGCACACAGCTGACCCGGGGGTGTTGTTCAGGGTATGGAGGGAAACCAGCGCACCCCAGCCTCAGCTCTAGGGTCACCGCCCCTGTTGTGCCTCCCCCTGAGGGGGTCGTGCAGAGGCGGAGCTGGGGTCCACGCCCGCTCGGCACGCCCCGCCAGCTGCCTACCGTCTAGGGCAGCGGGGCTGGACAAAGCGCGCCGCTTTGATTGGTTGCGGTGCGCCTGCGGCCAGCGGCTCCAGCCCTGCGCGGCCAATCGGCGCATAGAGATGCAAATAAAGCTCTATAAAAGGGGCGGGGCCGTGTGCGGGCGGAAGAAGCGAGAGTGGGGAGAGCAGGGGCTGTTGCCGGCGGTGTAGCCAAGGGCGCTGGGCGCGCCCGGCGCTTCGGGCGGTGTTGGTTATGGCTTCGCCCCTGGCGCCTCGACGGGACCTTGCGGGCCGGGAGAATAAGGACCGCTGGGAGGCGCGGGGGGACCGCAAGGTGAGGGCTGGGGCCCCGGGCATGTGGGCGTGCGGGGACGGGGGCGGCCTGGCGCTGGGGCTTAGTCGCCCGCTTCCCGCAGGCCCGGAAGCCCCTGGTGGAGAAGAAGCGGCGCGCGCGGATCAACGAGAGCCTGCAGGAGCTGCGGCAGCTGCTGGCGGGCACCGAGGTGAGGCTGGTGGGCCGGTGCCCAGGGGCTGCTGAGCGGGCGGACGGGGGTCGGGGCGTTGCCTGGCCTCACCTCCCTTCCCCACCTGGCGCCCCCTCCGGCGCAGGTGCAGGCCAAGCTGGAGAACGCCGAGGTGCTGGAGCTGACCGTGCGGCGCGTGCAGGGAGTGCTGCGGGGCAGGGCTCGCGGTGAGTGGTGGTGGGGCACGCGGGCTGGGGCGCGGCGAGTTGAAGACTTCTCCGTCTGACGCCCCTGTGCAGTCGGGGCGAGAGCTCATCCCGGAGCAAGGCGTGCCCCAGCATCTCCGGGGTGAGCCCTATCACGGCTTGCCGGGTGGGTCAGGACACGGCAGTCCAGGCTCACCAGACCGGGCGCGGCTCTCTCCCTCCCATCCCCGGGTGCAGGGCGCGAGCAGCTGCAGGCAGAAGCCAGCGAGCGCTTCGCAGCCGGCTACATCCAGTGCATGCATGAGGTGCACACGTTCGTATCCACGTGCCAGGCCATCGACGCCACCGTCGCCGCCCAGCTCCTGAACCACCTGCTTGAGTCCATGCCACTGCGAGAGGGCAGCAGCTTCCGGGATTTGCTGGGGGACACTCTGGCCGGGCCCCCGGGAGACCCTAGGCGAAGCAGCTGGCTCACAAGAGGGGCCCTGGTGTCCCCAATACCCAGCCCCCCTGTCCCCAGCCCCCCAGTTCCCGGGGATGACCTGTGCTCCGACCTGGAGGAGGCCCCGGAGGCTGAACTGAGCGGAGCATCTGCAGAGGGCCTGCACTTGGTGCCTGTGGCTTTGGGCAGCCTGACCTCTAGGGGCATAGTCCAGAGCATCTGGAGGCCTTGGTGACCAACACCAGCCTGCCAGTCCTGAGCCTGCAAAGGTGGGCCCAGCCTTCCCACCTCTAGTTCCTCCTCCCTGGAGTCCGGATGTGGTGGGGCAGGGTCCTGATGTCTCCCACATCTGTCCTTTTCTAGTGGATGGCTTGTAGGGAAGTCCTGGATAACCCTTTCCTTAAGAGAGTAACTTTTATGGACCCCACCCCCAGCTTAAGTAGAGAGCTGCAGAGCTACCAGGGCTCCCAGGCTTTTGCCTGTCTACCCTTCTTAGGCACTGTGTGGACCTGGGGGCAGGGGTGACCGGAGTGGTGCTGAGCCTCTCCTCAGTGCAGGGCACTAGTGTTGGGGCAGAAGGAGACCTCAGGCCCTGGCAGCCCTGAGCTGAGCAGAAACTTGAACTTGCCACTTCAGCCAAGGCACAGGGGAGGCAGGTGCAGAATTGCCCTTAGCTGTCAGAGAGAAGCAAGGCTTTCTGTATGTCTTGCATTTAGCAGACTTGAGTTTGTAAATTAGGTTGGTATTGAACATTCCAATTCTACTAAATAAACGATTTTGGAGAGTTATTACCCTTCTGAAGTATTACTGAATGATGTGGTGTCACTAATGTGTCAAATACATAAATAGCAAACTAAGTGAGTGTTTCCGGTACCTAACGCCCACGCTTCCTCAGCAAAGTAAGCAGTGTAATGGCAGTGCAGGTGGGATACTCTATCTCACAGCAGACAGTGCTTCCTCCTCCCTATTGCATGGCAGCTCCAGGTGGGTTTCCCCTGCAGGTCCTTAGGCCTGACCTGCTCTCCCTGGGGTTGTGTGCAGCCTGGATATCATTGGCATGGGGTTTGTCTCCAAAGTAACCAAGCAATAGGGAAACAGCCTATCCCCTGGACCATTCTCTGGTTCATGAACTCCCAGGAATAAACTAGTGCCTAATTTCTAGCCACATGGTTTGGAAGTTTCTTTAAAAAACCTGTGTTAGAATCCATGAGTGTGGTGTCAGTCTGCTTGTGTTAGGTTGTCACTTTTCTTGACTGAGAGCGAGCTTCCACTACTGCTGGCGACTTCAGTGACCCAGATCACAACTTGAAGTGAAAGAACCATGGCTGCAGGCAGCTTGGACTGGAGGTCAAACTGGGCTCAGGAGGTCAGAACCTTGGAAGGAGAGTGAAAGGATGGGCAGCTGGGGTGTAGGGAGACTTCCCTCCTGGGCTGGGCCAAGACCTGCAGTTAGCATGTGGTCAGTTAACAGCAGTCACTGCTATAGGTAATCCAGCCCCTCTTTTGCTTCAGTACTCCTCTGTGCTTTGAGAACAACTTTCCCAACAGCCCTCTTACAAAGGCCCCCAGAGGCATTTCACACTGGCTTCCTTATGATTCAGTCTTAGGCCTCAGTCATCAGGTCCTAACCAGATGCAGCTTAATTTTAGTGACTGGGGATAAGTTGTCGAAGGGGTGGGTGGAGGGAGGCAGGTCCATAGGACAGGACTTGAGAAGATAGAAATATTATTCCTGGGATTATTTTAATTGCCCCCCACAGATAGATGTAGGATGTGTCCACAGGGACACATGAAGAGCAGATCCACCTGTGAGACCTCTGTCCCCTGTGGCTCCCAGCAGCACCCAGAGGCCACTGTGGTGAACTTTGGCTGCCATAAATGGCTACAAACTTGGTGGATTAAAGCACCACACATGTATCACCTTATAGTTCTATTGGTTAGAAGTCTGAGACAGAATTCACTAGACTAAAATCAAGGCAGGGCTACACTCCTTTCTGGAGGATTGAGGGTGAATCTATTTTCTTTTCCCTGCTTCAGAGGCTACCTGCATTCCTTGGCTGCTGGCCCCTTCCTCCGTCTTCAAAGCCAGCAACGTTGCATCTATCTGACCCTTCTTCCATAGTCACAACTCCTGGCCCTCCTCTTCTGTTTTTACGGTCCCTTGTGACCCTTGTGATTAAATTGAGCTCAGCTTGGTAATCCAGGATGCTCTCCCTATCTCAAGGTTCTTAATCCTTCATCAGTTTTGCAAGGCCTCTTGCCATGGAAGGTAACATTCACAGGTTCTGGGAATGAGGATGTGCATAACTTTGGGGATCCATTATCCTGTGTACCACATCCACCTTCGTGTCTGCCCAGGCATTCTGCCTTCCACCACGATGCACTGTGGCGCTGGGTTCCCTCCCGCTTTGATCTCTCAGTGACTCTGCTCTCTTCACTGCGTCATAAATCTCGCCTTGCACTAGATCATTCTTACCATCCTACAAACAAGCTGTAATAATACCTCCATCTGGAAAAAGGGGAGACAAAACCTCCCTGGTACTCTGTTAGCTTCTGCCTTGTTTCTCAGTTCTAAAACAAAATTCCTTAAAAGCAACATCTACATTCACTGTCTTCACCTCCCCACCTCTCACTCCCCTCCCTTCCTCTCCAGTCTGGATGTTGTTTCCACCTCTGACTGAAACTGCCCTTGTCAAGATCTCCAAAGACACCCATGTTTCCAAGTCCATACCCAACCTTCCAGTGAAGCACTCCGCATGGTGCCACTCCTGTCCTGAAACTCTCCAACTCAAGAACGTCGCTCCCCAGGTCAGCCAAACTCACTGGCCATCTTCGTCCTTTATTAGATGCTCCCCCCCCCCCCCCCCCCCCCGTGCCAGACTCCAAATGTGGGCAGACACATTCAAGGCTGTGTGCCAGCTCTTCCCCATCACCCCTGCCCAGGAAACCCCATGTGGCCCATTTGGTTTCCTCCGTGTGCCCTCCATCCAAAGCCCATCTCCACCCTTGGCCTGCCTCCATCCTGTGTACTCAATGTCTCCACTTAGGTCTGGTGGACATCACAAGCCAGGGGTGATTCTCACCCCCAAACGCACTGTCACTGTACTTGTTACCGCTTCCAGGCACCCCACTGATTAGGCAAAAAATATGTCACCCTCGATTTATTTCTTTTTCTGTCATCCCATTTCCACTCAATCAGATCCATGACTCTAGTTCGAATTCCTAGTTCCACCTGGGTCATTTTTCCCAGCAACCGAACCCAGGCACCCTCATTTCATCCTTAACCCGAGTTGAGCAGCAGACCTAACTCGCCTCGCCATTTCCACGCGGAGCGCCTGGCCGAAGCCTTTAAGACTCGCCTGACCTCCCTTCTGCAGCTCTGCTCTAGGCTCTGGCATTTGCCAGGGACCCGACAGCGCGATCCGGCCAGTCTCGCTCAGCGCGCGCACCAGCCCGCGGACAGCCCGGAGCCTGCATTGCGGAAGCCAGGGGGATTTCGGAAAGAGGGTGCCGAACTCCAGGGGCGGGGAATGTTGTAGAGTTTTGGCCACGCCCCTCTCTGTGGGCGCGCCCCCTCTGTTCCCATTCTGCCCGAGGTGAGCCACGGAGCCTCCTGGGAGATGTAGTTTCCACCCTTCGACTTCCCTTTCTCCGAGGCCGCTGCTGGCCAAGCCGGGACTGCGATTCCCAGAAACCTCCCCGGTCCGAAAGCCGCGCCCCCTCCGCCGAGGGCTGGAGTCCTGGTGTCCCGCGGTGTCAACTGAGTTCAGCGTCCACCCCTACTCCCATCCCCACCAGGATGGCCTGTGTTCTCTCCAACATCCCAGCCACCGGGAGAGGAAGCCATAAAGGCTAGTGCCCCGCAGCACCGGTCCTCCGCAGCTGGATCCGCACATCTGCGCTGGCTCCAGCCCAGGGCCCCTGGGATGGGTCCCCTATCGGACCCGAGCCAGCCACCGACCGCGGTCTGCACGTCGCGGTAGTAAAAGCTCCCCAGAGGTTCGAAGGCTAACAGCGGCTGATGTCGAGGAAGGAGAGGGTTGTTTCAGGCAAGTTTCTCGAGGAGGGAACACATAAAAAGTGAATAACCGTGAACTAATCCCTGTCTTAAGTGAATGAAATATAGTTTTCTGGTAGATCTATTTTCATGGTTCAAAATTTCAGAAAATGTGAAAAGTCAGATCATTTGCGGAAAGTCAAGTATATTCATAAGTAAAACTTGTATTGTTCACAGGAAACGCAAGGAACCAGGGGACTGGGCCACAGTCAAGGGATGGGCTGTGGGAGGTGGGACATCCCTATACAGGTGAGATCATAGAGGGCCACATAAACATGGCAAGGAGTTTGGATTTTTTTTTAAAATATATTTTATTGATTTTTTACAGAGAATAAGAGAGAGGGATAGAGAGTTAGAAACATCGATGAGAGAGATCGATCAGCTGCCTCCTGCACGCCCCCTACTGGGGATGTGCCCGCAACCAAGGTACATGCCCTTGATCGGAATCGAACCCAGGACCCCTCAGTCCGCAGGCCGATGCTCTATCCACTGAGCCAAACCGGTTTGGCAAGGAGTTTGGATTTTACTCAAAGTAAATGGAAAGCAATTGGAGGACTTAAAGTAGAGGAGGGCAATGGGCTGAGTTAGGTTTTCAAAATATCCCTCTTTTTTTTCTCTGGAAAATCAACTGTAGGAGGACAAGAGCCTAAGAGAGAGGAGGTAGTCTCGTGCATAGTAAGGAAATACGGTGGCAGAAAGGGATGTGGAGGTTTTGAGGTGAACAGGCAAGGCCTACTGAATTGGATGTCTGGGAGGAGGCAAAGGCAGGAATCAAGGGTGTTGCCTAGGTTTCGGCAGGAGCCCCTGAGTGGATGGTGATTTGAGAAAGGCTGGGGAGAACGGGATTTGGGGGAGAGAGCAGGAGTTGTAGTTGGCACATATTTAATTTGAGGTGCCTATTAGACATCCAAGTGGGGATGTTGGTAGTTCCCAGAAGAGTCATGAAAGAGATATGCACAAATGTGTCATTAGAATACAGTTGTATTTAAGGCCAAAGAAGTCATAAAGATAACTTTGGAAGAGAATAAATGGAGGAGGCTCTAGGAAAATATGCCCTGGGGCACAGCACATTTAGATAAAAAGGAGCCAGTAAATTGAATCTGCAAACAGTTCAGAGTGGGCCTAATGTGAAGGGGGGTGGCGGAGCACACCGCCTCTAGGGCTCTTTCTGCTGTGACAATAGCTGGGCCTGTAATTCTGTGAAATGACTACAGATACCAAACAGGGTGGAAGCAGGAGAGGGTGCACCCCACCCTGCCTTTTTGGAACACTGAGATTTTCTCACTGCAAAAAATGGCTCCCCTGTTGAGCTAAAACACTGATGAAATGATTCCACCTTAACTGTCTCACCCACCTAACTAGCTCCTCTCTGTCCCTTACAGAGGCATGGCAGCCCCCACATCCATGCCTTTGTGCTACACCTTCCACCCTAAACGAAGCCCCTGGTAGTGAAAGGAATTATAGAGACAGGACAGGCAGTTTTAGGGAAAGGGGGGTTCATGGGAGAGGAATGCATATGTGAAGGACAGAGGTAGCTCCAAGACACCAGAATGCTTACCTTATTTCACAGAGGATAGAGGAGGATAGAGAAATGTTACAAGAGGAAGACATACTTTCACAGAGGATAGAGAAATGTTACAGAAGATACAGGAATGTTGCAAGATGAGGGGGAGAGAAAAAGGGGGGCACCATGTGGGCTTTGACCTTTGAAACTGATACTCTGCAGAATGACCAATTAGGAAAGCACAGGGATCATAAATGGGGAAGGGGTCCAATTAGAAGGGAGCATAGATAAAGAACTTACAGCCTTTAAAACTTTAGACAAAGGGGCTTAGCTGGTTACCCCCTTGAGAACCCCTCTCTATGTGGGAATATGTATTTGCTTCCAATAAATTTCCACACTTTTACTAACAAGTTCTTTTAGTCCGAGAATTTTATTCTTTTTTAAAAAATATATATTTTATTGATTTTTTACAGAGAGGAAGGGAGAGGGATAGAGAGTTAGAAACATCGATCAGCTGCCTCCTTCACACCCCCAACTGGGGATGTGCCTGAAACCCTTGACTGGAATCGAACCCGGGACCCTTCAGTCCGCAGGCCGACACTCTATCCACTGAACCAAACCGGTCAGGGCGAATTTTATTCTTTAATTTTCATGAGGCAAGAACCCACAAGGAGGAGAGTCTGGGCCCTGAACTCCACGTATCATAGGAGGTTCTGGGGGTGTCTAGCCCAAGTGTGCTCAGAGTCGACAATTTCTTTGCATTTCCAATGTGCCCTGGGCACATTCCTGCAAACACACACACACATATCCCATGTATTATGAGGTTTTCCCACTCTAGCTAGTAGATATAGGAACCATTCCTGATAAGAGACTTTTTACTCCAGTGCTAATGGGATCTCACCTGAGGACTCCAGGGCAGTGGTTCTCAACCTTCCTAATGCCGCGACCCTTTAATACAGTTCCTCATGTTGTGGTGACCCCCAATTTCATTGTTACAATTTGAACATAATTATAGCATAGTGATTAATCACAAAAACAATATGTAATTATATATGTGTTTTCCGATGGTCTTAGGCGACCCCTGTGAAAGGGTTGTTCAACCTCCAAAGGGGTCGCGACCCACAGGTTGAGAACCGCTGCTCCAGGGGAACCCCCTGCAGACCTAAGAAAGGCAGCATTACTCTCCTCACAAGCTGTTGAGAGGTTAAATAAAATTAACATTTGCAAAACATCTAACCAGTGTCTGGCCCCAAACTGGCACTGACCGTGAAAGAACGTCCAGCCCTTAGAAAAGTCGTAGAACTTTAATTTGAGCCAACTTTTGAGGACATGCCCGGAAGTGAAATCTTACACGGGACTGAGATAATGCTCTGGGTAAGGGCAGCTTTGCAGTCTGTGTTTTAGACATTACAATCAAAGGAGGAAGCATGAGGGGAGCTAGTGACATCGTTGGTGGTAGATGGGGGAGGCAGGAGAAGGCAAAGCAGGGGGAAACTCTGAGATTGGATGAAAAGTAACATGGAGAGACACATACTTCATGTACCTTGGTGGGCACGGGAGAGTTCACATCAACATGTTCAGCACACGGGGATGGTATGTGTGGGGAACCAATCTCCAGTGGGAGACTGCGCCCTGAGGGTCGGGGAGAAGGACTACCCGGGTATATAATCCCGAAGGGGTATTATCATTGCCATCGAAGGTGTGTTATCATTGTCATCGATGCAGAAAGACAGTGGACAGACTCAGTTGGGGTCAAGATTGACGTTTGTCAAGAAGATACCCACCTAGGAAGTTTTGCTTTCAGGCCACCCCGGGTGGTGACTTAGGCCTGAGTTTATGAGGCCCCCGCGCAGTCCTCCGGGGCTGGACAGGGGTAGTGGGCTGCCCCTTTCCGTCCACACTCAGCGGAGAACAGAGAGGTCTGGCTGTGCGCGCCAGGCCCCCCGGGGCACAGGCTGCTTTCCTGGGACCTCGCGTCCTTCTGCCCCGCTCCCCGCACCTGCCGGAAGGGTGTGGGCAGAGCGGGGATGCCTCCTGTCCCTCTGGCACCTTAGGGGGTTTCAGTCCTAACGCACAGGGCCACTCCCTTCAGCCTCGGTTTCTCCAGCTCTACAACGAATGATCTAGGAACGGACGTCCGCCCCCCAGTGGGAGTGGGAGGGTGACGGGGCGGACGCACGTGAAAAGCTCCATGGAGCCCTCCCAGACATCAGGGCTCACTATAGTTGCCCTGGAGCTTAGACATTTCTCTCTGGACAGGCTTTTTTAGAACGGATGCCCGGGCTACAGCACAGCAGGAGAGGCCGGGACTCCCGGGAAACATGGCGGCCTCAGCATCTGGGCCGCGGCCCTAGAGTCCTGTGCGCGTGCGCCGGGCCCCACTCCTTCACCGCCCAGCTTCGCCCGCGCGTAGGATTCTGGGGCGGCCAAGCCACGTCGCGCGCCAATTGGTGGCGTTCGGGGCCCGCCCTCGGGTGATTGACAGCGCCCTGGCTGCCACCGCCCAGCCGCCGCCGCTGCCGTCGCCGAGTGTGCAGGCCGCCGCTGCTTGCGGGCTGCGTGTCTGCCTCCGCCGACCAGCCTCCGCCATGGACCTGTTCGGGGACCTGCCGGAGCCGGAGCGCTCGCCGGCTGCTGGTAAGTGAGGGGCCGCCCTGCCGGCGAGGAGAAGCGGCCGGGCGGGCGGGCGGATGGTGGCCTGGAGGCCGCGGCGCCTGAGGTGGTCGGCGGGAGGAGAGGGCGGGCAAGCGCGCTTGCCTCGGCCCGGCCCCAGCGTGCGCACTGCAGCCCCGGAGCGCTCCGCCATGTTCGCTGCGTAGGAAGAAAGGGCTCTGCTCGAGGCGCGGACCGGGCAGGGGAGAGGGGGGCCCGCGGCCTTTGTGTGCGGCCCCCACGCGCCGGCAGCCCAGCTTGGGGCAGCTCAGCGTCCGCTCGGTGCAGAGTCCCTCCGCCTTCGCACGTGGCGCGGCGTCAGGGGCCTCTAGCCCGCAGCCCTCGGCCTGGGTCTGAATCGCTTTTCCCTGGAGCGACGTTTTTCCGCGCGTGCGTGTACAAGTTCAGGGTTTTGTTTTGGTTTGTTTTGACCCCAGAGATTGAAGGAATCGTCAGCGTTATCTTTCGTGTTTTAGAATCATCCTCTGTGCTTCTCTGATTTTTCGGTTGATAGTAGTTTCCCGGGTCTCGGGAAGTCTCCCTCTCCCCAGAGTCAGGAGCACCAGCCCAGGTCCACCCATCGCCCGCCCCTGACCGCGGGGGTGAGCTCCTGCAGGCTGGGGTTTGAGCCTCACGCAGTAGCCGTTGGAGACCAGTGCCTTGGTTATTGCTGTGTGTCCGCGTTTTAATTGGACAAATCCTGCTGACGTTTCCGTGCTGCATTTGCAGGTGAGACCTTACTTCCTAACCCGACTTGTTGGCAGAAAACCTGGAACACTTGAAAAACAAATACAGATTTCCAGGCTCATCCCCACTAAATCGGAAAGTCTGGGGCTGGGCCCTGAGTCTGTTAAAGTCCCCAGGGGATTTTGCCGTGCCTGCTCAGGCGGAGTCCGGAGAAGGCGGGTTCAGAACTGCTACTGCGGGGGACACGAGGGTGAATAAGAGCCAGCCTTTGCTTTCTAAGAGCTTAGTTCTGAATGCAAGCGATAGCAGTGATAACTGGCAAAAGTTAAGGACCGTGGGAACTGCTGAGTGTTGCAGGACAGAGTGGGAAGGAAAGCGGTGCTGGAATTGGGCCTCTGCTAGTACAGACGGGTAGACTTGTGATTGGCAGAGATTCCAGGCAGGCAGCGATATGCGCAAAGGGGGAACATCTAGCCCTCCAGTCGGAGCAGACCAGTGTGGAGGAGCACTGCAACTTGGGGCACTGGAACGGGGGTGCTCCTGTCCTTCACGTGGCCTGGATGCTGGCTTGTCACGTGGGAACAGCCTGGCCAGTCTCTGTCTGCCATTATTCCCTGTAATGGCACCAGGCTTTTCCCCAGGGACCATTGCACTGGTACAGAAGCCATTCGTTTTCTGTTGTGCATAAAAACTGTGGCTTTGTGTATGCAGTCATTTTTACTTTGTTGTTGGAGTATAACGTGTATCTAACTATGTTTGGGGAAGAGTTTAGATTCACAGATGTGCCTATAAGCTTTTCATTTAAAAAAAAAAAAATATATATATATATATAATTTTTTACCTGAAATCAATTTGGGCCTGCTTAGAGGAAGGCATCCTTGAGATGATACAACAACCAGACAACTTTTTAAAAAATGGTTTTTTTAAATTTTCAGTTACAGTTGACAATATTATATTAGTTTCCAGGTGTACAACATAGTGATCAGACATTTATGTAACTTGAAAATGATCCCCCCATAAGTTTATTGCCCATCCGGCATAATGCACAGCATAGTTATTACAATATTATTGACTGTACTAGAGGCCTGGTGCATGAAATTTGTGCACAGGTAGAGTCCCTAGGCCTGGCTGGGGCCTTCCTTCATTTCATGCCGCCCCCTGGTGGTCAGCGCACGTCATAGCGAGTGATCGGACTCCTGGTCTCCACGTCTCCAGGTCAAACTCCTGAGGGGACACTTTGCATGTTAGCCTTTTATTTATATACGAGGGACCCAGTGCACAAATTTTTGCACCTTGAAAGGAACTGTGGGCCACTAGGCTGCGGTGGGCACAGGGGCGGGTCTCGATCCATCCTCTGCGCCCCCGCCCGGCCCCTCCTGCTGTGGCCCCTGGTCCCGCTGGCACTGCTCACACCCGCTGATGGCACAGAGCAATTGGGGCTGGCGTCAGCAGCGGCTGTGAACAGGGCCAGTGCCGTCAGCAGGTGCTAGTGCGGCTGCTGCCCCAATCGCCCCTCGGGAGCAGGGGGAGGTGGAGAAGCCATCAGGGGTGATCAGGGCCGGCAGCAGGTGTGAGCGGGGCTGGCATTGGCAGTGGGTGTACGCAGTGGCTGTGGCACTGGCAGCAGGTGCGATAGGGGGTGACTGGGCGCCGGCAGCAGGTGCAAGCGGGGCTGGCACTGGCAGTAGGTGCAAGCACCGGATGGGACTGTGGCATATGGGAGCAAAGAATTTTCAAAAACCACCAGAGGCTCACCTCAGTGACCGGGACCGGCGCCCCACCTTGGTCTGGCATCCCTGCTTACCTGCTCCACCATCCCGCTGCTGCCAACGACTGCCATATTCCGTGCGTGCCTCCTGGTGGTCAGAGCACTTCATAGCGACCGGTTGTTCGATTGTTCCTCTGTTTGGTCTATTTGCATATTAGGGTTTTATATATAGATATATAGATAGGTAGATTCCCTATGTTGTAGTTTACATACTGGTGAAGATCCTAACAACTTTTTAAAATATGTTTTTATTGATTTTTTAAATGTATTTTTATTGATTTCAGAGAGGAAGGGAGGAGAGAAACATCAGTGATGAGAGAGAATCATTGATCAGCGGCCTCCTGCATGCCCCCAACTGGGGATGGAGCTTGCACCCCGGACATGGGCATGTACCCTGACTGGAAATTGAATCGTGACCTCCTGGTTCATAGGCTGATGCTCAACCACTGAACCATGTCGCTGGGCTGTTTTTATTGATTTGGGAGAGAGAGAAACATCAATGTTTGGGATAGAGCCTGCCTGGCCGTGTGCCCTGACTGGAAATCAAACTGGTGACCTTTTGGTGCATGAGACAATTGATGCTCAACCAGCTGTGCCACACTGGTTTGTTTACAAGTTGGTAGCCTGTGACCAGCTACAGTGGGGGAGGGCATCTCCAACTCTGGTTGAGGAGCCAGGGGGCTGCATGCATGGTGTTCAAAACCCCTTTCCCTGGAATGGATTAGTGAAGTCTCCCTGCCTTCCAGAAGGGCACTGACATAGTCACAGGCCCTGCTTGGCTGTATGTATTTTTTAAAACAGCTTTATAAATAAAGAAGATGTGTATGTTTGTAGATGATGGGAAGCTGAGAGGGGTAAGTACTAAAAGTGAGTGACAGTATTGGGATCACAGTTCTCTTGACAGGCAGTTAGTTAAACCAACAAGGTGCCACACTTTGTTTCAGAAAATCTGTAGTATTGGCTGATAAAATTAAAAATGGAATAAGTGAACAGAAAATAATGTTGGCATCATAAAGTGGATGGAAGGATGGGTTGAACTGCACCATCATGACCCTCACACATGGTGTGTGGGATCACAAATTTCTGAGCTGTGCAGGAAACAAGGATTGTTCAGGACATGTGATCTGACTAGTTTCACATCCCAACTCTGTTCTTATTACCTGCTTTCTGTGGCTGTTCCTGCCTCTGTTAGTCAGGTAGGAGAGCACTACCTGTACAGGGCTTAGCGCAGGGTGCAGCACGTGCTCAGTAGAGGTAGTGTGTAAGCTCTTAACTTTAACAGCTATTTAAAAGGGGAAAACATGCACTCCTCACTGGATTTTGTGAAAACTCTAAGTGTCCAATGGGAGGAAATATCACACTGCTCAGATACATCAGGTGTATTTTGTTCTATGATTTTTGTTTTAAACATCACACCTTTAAGCTTCTTAATTAATTATGGTTTGAAAAAATATAGAAAGAACACATTATAGGCATACCTCGGAGATACTGAAGTTTCAGATCCAGACCACTGTAATAAAGCATCTCGATAAAGTGAGTCACTAATCTTTTTGCAGGTGGAGGGTCTTGTCTTCAGTTGGTAAAAAAAGGTAATACCTGTGAAGCCCAATGAAGGGGAGCACAGTGAAGCAAGGTGTGCTTATAAATTTTTTCAGATTTTGTGCTAAATTAGTATTTTTTTTTGTCCCAGTATTTACGGATTTGATTGCTCAATCAAGTTTACACACATACAGTTGAAACAGTACAGAGGTTAGGGGCACCAACCTCCCACACAATGGAAATTTCTGTAACTACATATATGACTACAGCCTGCCCTCTGTGTATATGGACTCCCAACTGCAGAGGTGACTCTTGACCTGTGCGGGTTAGTTAAAAATATCTGTGTGTAAGTGGACATGCACAGTTCAAACCTAAGTTGTGTGTATAGTTTACCAAAAGAGGAAGTATGTTTGTTGATATCAGACAGAAATAACTTCTCAGCTATATCATAGTTCTAGAAGTGCTGACTTGATGTCTTTTTTTTTTTTTTTTTTTTTTTTTTTTGACTTGATGTCTTTTAAATTGACTGCTTTCCTGGGCTGGTGTTCTCAGCTGTTGATCATTGACCCAGGAACCAAGAGATCACCAGTTTGATTCCTGATTAGGGCACATGCCTGGGTTGCAGGTTTGTGGAATTGATCCTTGGTAGGGGGCATGCAGGAGGCAGCTGATTGATGATGTTTCTATATCCCTCTCCCTTTATCTCTCTCTCTAAAAATCAATAAAAACATTTTTAAAAATATTGACAGCTTATGTTTGATATTTCAAACAAGTTAAAGGTGTCCTGGTTTAAAGTTACTTTGGCAATAACTCAGTTTTAGTATTATAGAGTAGTTCTTTCACTTAAGGTTATTACACCAGTACACTTTGCCAGCTGTCAAGGACTAAATACATATTTGCTTGGCAGGCCATTTTCAAAATATTTCTTTTAAAATTGGACATCTATATATAAAATAAATATTAAGATACTAGAAATAACTTAGACTAATTG